ACTAAGGGCAATATATAACACTAGCCTCTTGGGTTTTAACTCTGTGAACGCACATTGACAATTGACATTTTCTGGGTTATGAAGTCACACAGACTCTGTTTACTTTTCCCATTAAGTCAAAGACTGTACTGTGGCTAGAAGTTATGGAGCCAACATGTGAGGAGAGCTCTGAAGATTACCTAAAATAGTCATGTGTTCCAGACCTGGGTAAAAGGCTCTCTTACATCTATCAGCTGCTGTCTCCCAGGTTTATGTTAGGAAGCCCTGCTCTTCACAGGCACAGGGGTGGTATGAGTAAACAACAGGAGGCCTTTAAACACAATTACTTTTGGTAAGTTGTTTCTATATTGCACAGTTTTCCCCCCTGACTTTTTACATAATTAAAATGCCACCAAAGTAAAAGTTTCTTTAAACAAAGTCCATACACTTCATTTGCATTTTAAACAGGCTAATTATTCAGAAATCAGTTGCCTTAGAGACTTGTTGAAGGAATCTTTGATAAATATGAAGACACTAGCTGGTTCAGTCAAAAAAGCATATATCTTAATTTGTTTTAAACATTTGTTAAGTGCTATCTTCTTTCTCACTGCCATAGCTTTTTGTTTGGACTTTGTGAAATGACATAAATACAGGCATTCAGCCCATGAACATTTCCACTGTTTCATCAGCATGTGCAAACTGGAAATATCTTGGATTTGCATTGCTGCTTAAACACTGCTATCCCCTATCCTTTACTTCTGTAAATGTTCATAAGAATCCTGAATAGCAGGCATACTTGGAAAGCAGCCCAAAAAAGGACTGGAATATCCCTCAAATTACCCAAGGTGTACAGCTAGAACTGGTTTAGATCAGGCAAAGCAGTGAGAAAGAAAGTCACAATCAGATTAAGATGTACAGTAGTGAGTAAAAAAATGAAAGTTTCAGTAGCTCGCTTTGGACAAATGGCCCTGCCCAAAACCCAAAGCCTTTCCCGATGTGCATTTTTTCCAAACCTCACTTCCTCTTTCATCGTTTTCTTAAGTGAAGAAAAATGGCTTTGGGCAGAGGCTGCTTTCCTCTTTCTACACTGTAAAAAACATAATGCCCTTGAAACCAGGTCAACCAGGTAATAATTCAAAACAAATAATTCACAATTTATTCTTAAATCATGGTTAATTTAATAGATTATATCGTTTTTGAAGTAATATCCTAAAAGACAAATTAAAAACACTTACAAACACTGAAGCATTCCTAGCTTAACTAGCTACAAACTGTATCTTCTCAGTGTGACAACTCTCTATTTCACTAAGGTTGTTCTTAGCACACTCTATTTCTGCTCAGTGTCACATCTGAGCCTACAGTAAGTTGCCTGTAATTCACACAGGAAAATATAAATGTTCTGTAATCATATGGATTTAAAAAAACAATATGCTTTTGTTGTTGCTCTGGGTTATTTAACATCCCGCAGATTAGTGCTGAAACGATGAAAGTTGAGAGTTGACCCGGTGCCATTAGGTTTAGCCACGGGTTAACACAGGCTTCATTTTTGAGAACCCGAGCCAGAAACTAAAAGGCTGCCAGGCTGTGGGGATCAGTAACAAAGCAGCACAACAAATATAAAGCATTTACAGTTGGATGCCAGGGATGACACTGCTGAGGATAACAATTCCTGTATGTCATAATACTTAAAAACACAAATTACCAAGTTCCAGTGCTTCGTTGACCAAATCATATTAAGCTGTCATGTTAATGCCTGCACATCATTTCAAACTAAAATTCAAGATGTCTGGTGCATGATTCCGAGCAATTTTCCTGTAATTGACCTCAACATTTCTGGCATCTCTGCCAAAGTCGTAATCTTGCCAAAGCTCTCGAGGGTTGAAACGTGATCCACATCACATACCTTTATAACAATAGACCTGCCAAGTCTGTGGTGTTGACAAGGCTGATGACATACACTATAACACAGAGTAACCCACAAACGAGACAGGAAGTCCATTCCATTGCAATGTAAATACTGTTATATTTTACTATATATATTTCTAATAATTTTTTACATTTTTCCCGGTAATAAACCTGTTTCTGATTCTTCTGATTCTGATTCTATTGGCAACCAATAAAAAAATGTTTGAGTGCATGAAAAAATTGTTTTCATTTAAACTATTGTTCAGGAATTGATTATTGATTTAACAGATCAGTATGAAGTCATGACAAAACGAGGATGAACTTCACCAGCCCACATCTCTGTTTACATCATTCATCTCAGGTTAGCTCTACCGTACATAAATGCCAAAGCTAACCAGACAAACATCCTCCTGGTCCTAACGACTGAAGGGAGGCAGAGAGGGTGAGTAGTAAAGGGCACTCCCAGTTAAACACATGGCTTCAGTTTCCCCTCTCCACTGTGTGTCCTGGCCTTGCATGAGACCAAAACACTTAAACAGCCAAATATGGTGTTCATTAAGACGACTCAGTGTATTGTGCTGGCCACCTACAACCACACTTTTACACACTCTGCCCTCATATGCTGCTGACAGAGTTCAGAGTTAAATATGTTTTGTATTAACCGAGGATAAAACCAGGCTTAAGTTCAAGTCACCAAAAGCAGACTAACAAAACGTCAACATCAGGTTACCTCTAAACAGCGAGTTTTAGAGGTGTAACTGTGAAACCCAGAGTGCAAAATGAATGTGAACTCTCATTCTCGACCAAAACATCTACACGGGAATCACTGCATACTTGAGGGTCTGGTCTGTGAACCGGGAGAAAAAAAGCACATCCACTATGTCCATATTTGGTCTGGCTAACTTTGCCAATCCTTCCACTAGAACATACTGTATTTCTCCAAACATCCACTGACCGAACTGTGAAGGATAATACTGACATCTGCTGGAAAGAATGCAGGGTGACTTTATTTTCTAGTAGACATCTCTGTCAAATACATAGGATGATGTGAAAAAGGACAAAATAGTATTGACGGTACTGGTTGTTTGAAACTCTTTATTTTTCGTGAATACAAAAAATACTTCTGTGACCAGATAAATATTATACATACAGCATCAAAACATGAAACTAATGCAGTCTGTTAAAGAAAGCACAACACCTATTCATTACAGAGCTAGTAACTTTTTTTCTATTTCCGTTAATACTCGGACAAATCAGTTAAGACAATATATTTCAGGGTAACTCTTACATTTACTGATAAAAACATAATCTTTAATAGTGGTTAGACAATGAAACAAGGAAGTTATTAAGTCCAACATTTGAGAGGAACTTGGCATATGATTTCAACAATTTCTCGACTTCAAACACAAATTGCCACATGCTCATGGAATGCAGTCTAGTGTTAGTCTTCCAACATGGTCTCTAAATCCTAATGTATCCACAGATGCCCTTTTATATCAGCATTATAATGTTGTAGGCAAGTAGGCCACCAGCCAAGGCATTGTATTGTATGGCAAAGGACTAGGTGGTAGTTTCTTAAGACCCCGATGGGGATTAGACTGGCATATTGTTCTGATCCAGAGAGGACAAGGCTCAGGCTCCCACTCAGCCATGATCTTCAGCTGCTCGCAGCGCAGACTCTAAGTAAGGCACTAGTACACAATGCAGTCCAGACACTATTATGGACTGAGGAGATAAACTGCTTAAAATGTCCAATATATTATACATTAATATACTAAGAAAAAAAAAGCATTGAATGACTTTCCTCTTTCAGCGCTTGAAGCCATTTCCTTCTACTTTGCAAGGAGAATGTCCTACATTTAATATAATGGAAGCTTTAAATTGCCATCTTCAGTGTGTATGTTTATGAGCAACTTCAGTGCATAACGTATGCTCGTTTCATTCAAGAGCCCAAAGCCAAATATCATTGCACATGACCAATCTTACAACCAATAACAGCGCAGACTCTCATTACTATCTCGCCAGGATATTCAGTGTAATGTATTGCTGTAGACAGTCAGTCTATAGTGAAAATGTCTTTACAATGACAGGGCAGTGACTGGGGAGAATTATATCTGTGTGAGTGTGTGTATAGTACAGTGGGTACACAAACTAAATCTGGCCAGTGTTAATAGAAGAGGAATCAAAACATGGAGACAAGAGAGAACAAATATGATGTAAACATATATTCCTTACACAGCTCTGTGTATGTTAGGAAAGATGAACTAAGTGACATGATTTACATAAGCATGTCATATTTGGTCACATATATTCCAGATTCTCTTGTCTGCTCTTTAAGAAAAAATCTGCCAAGAATAAATATCTTTATATAGTAGCTAGTGTTGGCCAGTTGTCTGTATGCTTCTTATTTAATCCATGAGAACCCCTCAAATCCTTTCTTTCTAAAGATTTGCTACTTTAACAGCAAACCGCATATTCACATTTTTATTAGTAAAACACAAGTGCCTTTCCGCTCCATACTACTCTATTGGTTAGTAGCTTCATTGATATGTATAGACATTATGCTGCATGCAAGCCAGTGGTGAACTGAGGCATCCCCCTCCTGCCTTTCTGTGAACCCCTCAAGGTTTTTTACATTTAGAATACAAACTATGGACCCTTAGGTTTGTTCTGCCAGTTGCAGAGAATTTCATTTCTATTTGCTCTAAACCTTCAACAAGTACATAACATTCAGTGATTATAGAGAATTTCTGCATTGGTTACATCTTCGATGTATGATTGTAACAGTCGTTAATGCTCATTAATGCAGCAACACTCACAAAGCAATGATACGTTCATCATACAACTTCATCATACTTTCGCCACTTGCTTATAGTGGCAACTGTAACAACCTTCTCTTTAATTGAACTCTGAATGCCAATGCTGTACACACACACACACACACACACACACACACACACACACACACACACACACACACACACACACACACACACACACACACACACACACACACACACACACACACACACACACACACACACACACACACACACACACACACACACACACACACACACACACACACACACACACACACACACACACACACACACACACACACACACACACCAGAGCACAGGCACTTGTTTTTCTCACCAAAACAGGCCTGTTTCAAGTGCTGTATATTTCTCGGTTATATGAGAGCAAAGCAGCCAATCGTACATCGGCATCGTCTCCCCATGACAGGAGGGTGTCATCAGTGCGGCGCTCACCGCCTCTGCCAATCAGCCCTCATCCTCCCTCAGCTCGCTGGGCAGGAACTTGTACTGCTGCTGTCGGATCTGAGCCAGCTTCTTCCGGGCCTCCTCCAGCTCTCGCTCCTTCCTCAGCATCTCCTCCTGAGCCGCAATGATCTGAGGAGAGCGGGAACAGCTGACAGGAGAATGTTCCTTCCACTCATCATAATCCCATTCATGTGGATAGCTTCGTATAGAAGACTAAAAGCTGCACAGCGCTCAGCTCACACTGTACAGCCTTTTACTGTAACTGCACGCTCATTAGAGATCAATGAACAAACATTCACTTTTAAGTCTATTCGTTTACATGAGTGAAGAAGATTGGTAGTGATGCATGATTAGAGAAGCATTCAACACAAAAACTTGACAAAATGATTTCACACCCGTTTGGACTGTATGCATTATATTGTTGGTTTAGCAGTTGTTTTTATTTAATGCCTAAAGGGTAATTAGATAACTGTTTTCATCAAATGAATAGTAGTCAGGATTGTTAACATCAGGGTATACAGCTATGAAAATAATGAATATTTGTGTTATCATTTTGGCCATCTAAAAATGATAATAAATGGTCAATCAGAATCTATTAAGAGACAACATGGTCCAATGCTCCCCACAGTGAGACAGTCATCAGACATCAATATGACAGTGAGCCTCACTGATGCCCAGCTGGTGTGCCCCAATGAGTGAAACAGCAACATAATCAATCAAGATGATAAGCAAAGCTTTCTGTGGCACCCTGGTGTTTTAAGAGACACTCACTTTTCAATTACTTTCACATTTTTGCAAAGATGAAAAGACAGCTAGTAGTCTTCAAAAGATGTGATGTTTTGCAGCCGTGGGTCTCTGGTAAACCCGGTAAACAGCTTTGAAATGAAGCTGACGGGCTGTTTATCTGCAGCAGCTCATCACAAGCTCAGAAAAACGACTGTGGCATTTTGGCACGTCAGTGAGAGGTGCAAACACGCAGTGAAAAGGGCAAACCGTAGAATGGGAATGATTTCACATGAACATTTTTCAGGGTTGTGTCTCACCTGAGCTATGCCTCCAACGAATTTGGTCTTTACCACCACACTGTCATCTTCAGTCTTGTCAAAAGCTGCTTTCTGAGCCGCCTTCACCAGATTGTCTGAAGCTCGCTTCACTGCGTTTCCAGCAGCCTTCAAACAGATCATCTCAAAGTTAGAATGCCATTCACACAATCCATATGCAAACAATTACCATGGACAAATTAAGACTGTGTTTCAGCGTTACCTGTAGCCTCCTCATGGCCTCAGAGTCCTGGTTGGCCTTCACCTTGCAGGCCACCAGCAGCTGAGCCGTGGAGGCGGCGACCTGCTTGGCGGAGCAGATGAGCTTCTCCTCGCTGGCGTGGCCCTGCACCGAGGCGTTAGCGGCCTCACACAGGTTGCTGGTGGCTGCGGCTACCATACGAGCCTACAGCAAGCAACACATTCACACATGCTCTTTGGTTGGGTTTACATTTTGTTTTAAAGGTCCCCTATTATACTGTTTTTCATTACTTTATTATAGGTCTCAGACATATACAAAACATGTCTCTTAAGTGTTTGGCCTCGAAATATCAAACAGATCGTGCATTGTAGCATGCTATAATCCCCTCTGTTTCAGCCCTGTTTCAAAAGTGCTGATTCTGTGTCTTTTACTTCAGATGAAAATAAGGAGCCACTCCCCACGCCCCTCTGAGAGATATTTGGTTAAAAAAACCACAATGGTGCTCTAGGAGGAGATTCAGGTGATAATGTGGGGGGGGGGGGTTACCTTGGTTGGTTATTGGCTAATGGTTACACAAGCTAAAAAAACGTTATGACATCATAAAGTGGCCAAAATCTGATCAGCTCATTTTCAGACAGGTTTTTATATAAATGGATCAGGACAAAAAGTAAGCGAATCTTTTTTCCTGAAACTTTCAGAATCTCTTTACACAGAGGGGACACATGTTGATGTATAAAAGACAGGAACAAGTGGATTTTGCATAATAGGTGACCTTTTATCTTGGTAAAATTATAAAGTTATTACCGACATTTGTTAATGTGTACAAGGGAACTTACAGCGGATATGAGACCCTGTGACCACTGGCCGTCATCCACTGCATTGGCTAGAATGGATCCAACCTGAGTTTGATATTGGATAAACAACATAAATGACATGTTGTTTTATATTATTATATATTCTTCACATCTGAGCTGAGTGTCTGAGTAGGTGTGTTGACTGACCTTTCCTTGTGCCACCAGTTCTCTTTGAGCTGCCGATGCAGATTTAACAAGAGCGCTAGTCGCTGCTGCGATGGACTTTGCTGCTTCTAAGATCTGTTCCTCAAAGTCCAGCGTCTCATCCGCCTGCTGAAAGTAAAACACAATCATTTAGACAATTATCCTGCAGTAAATAAATATAAATCAGTGTGTCACCAAGTCAACTCGGGCCATAACCAGTAGCTTATTAATACTCTGATCATGAAAAAAATATATTTACATTATTATAATTATTTTGAATTTATAGGCATTAACTAAATGCTTTTTATAAGCCATATGCGCTGTGTCAGGAATACAAAATAGAGAATATAAAAAGTAGTACATGGAATATCCACCAGATGTTTATTTTCTTGTAGTATGTAACACTTTTCCAGTTTCCTAACACTTTAAAGTAATGAGTGCATGACCTCAGTTTCCACAATGGCAGCTATTGCCTTGAGCATAACTGTTTAACTCCATCTTCTACAAAAAACACCATCCAGCATGCCTTCCTATTTCCCAAATCTAAACACCATTGTAAAAAATCACAGTGCATCAGTTCAGAGACAAATGTTTGCCTCAGCAGTCAGCAGCATGTGATTGACCTCCATAAACACATAAGGCACACGTGGCTGGAGACAGGGCGGGACACTGTAGGAATATGTTTGATATATAGTTGGACTGAATAACAACCTAATATATCAAACATATCAGACAGAGCCCTGCAGAGAAGGCTTCCAGGTCTACAACGGCTCAGAGAGGGAGGGGGAGGCAGGGCGAGTGAGCATGCTGGGAGAACAAGAGCCCTCCCCCCATGTAGGGTGGGGATGGATGAAGGAGCAGACAGGAGAGGGAGTGAAGAGGAGGAGGAAGAAGATTACAAGCAGACAAACAACAACGTGATTAACTGTTTTACAGACAAGGGTTGGTTTAAAGGTAAAACCTGGATTGTTTAAATTAGGGTTGTATTGGGTTCTTATCCATAGTGAGTTTATTTAATTTATTTTTGTTTATTTGGTTGGTTCTGACAAATGAATGGATCAAGTCAGCGGTAGACCAGCAACTCTGGTGTTCTGTTTTTTTTTTCAATGGAGTCTGGTATGTGCACAGTATTTGAAAACAGATTATGGATGCACAATTATTTTAAATAGTTTATGAATATAGATAATAGGAATGCATGTTCCTAAATACAAATGTAACTGTTCTAGCATCAACGTATAATGAAAGTAAAATTAAGTGGTATTCCTCATTGAAATGTTTTTTGGTAAAGCTTGTATAATTTTAGTCCACTAGAGGGAGACACTGACATCCAAAAAGGGGGCAAAGCCTTTCACTCCCTAATCCCCTTTCATAAACACAAAGGTCCTCATAGATGCCGTCTGTGTCTGTGGAATTATAGTCTGAGACAGAGCATTATATGGGCTTTATTTAAAGTGGGGTAACCTAAATATAGTCTGTGTACAGGAAGAGGTATAGAAAAGGGGGAAAGCACTACAGGCACAGAAGGATCCAACTATCCAGTCTCCAGAGACAGATAAACAAACAACACAATCATGCAATAGAACACAAACACATTATAAAAGTCATTTCATTTTCCAAAAGCACTATCACAACCACCTCCCATGTTTTGCCTATTGTCTCTATTCATCATGCTCTAAAGTTATTTAGGCAAAAGTGCAGCATGGGGGGTGGGGAGATGAGAAAAGGCTGAAAAAGCCTCCCTCCTTTTAGTTCAGATATGAGGAACACTGCAATAAAACAAAGGAAATGGGTTCAATAAGACAGAGACCCTCTCTTCCAGAAAGGGTCACAACAGTTCATCACACATTTGAACTCTTTCCAAAATAAGCTTGAAGACCCAAGCAGTGTAATTGCGTCTCCTGGCAACACAACTCAAAATAATGTCCAAAAGTGCCTTTGAAAAAAGTTTTCCAAGCATCATATGTTAGCTCACCGGACCAGCTGTCTGAGTCAACATGGGATGTGTGAGGAAGAAAGGCTTTTTCTCCGCTAATGACATCGAGATAGCAGCTCAGTCACTGAAAAACATGACTCCACTTCAAAGTCAGAGTCACCTTTTCCTACCTTCGGCACACATCTTCCTCTGCTGATTAATGGCAAAAACCTGTGTGTGGGTTTGTGTGGGTGGAAAGGGTGGAGAGGGGCACTTATACCTTAGGCTTGGCTCTTGGTTTCAGCTGCTCTAGTTTCTTGGCTGCAGCTTCAATGGACGCTGCTGCTCCAAGGAGCTCAGTCTCAGCGATGACAGTGGGGTCCTGGGGGTCCACATACTCTGAGCCTGAAAGGGGTCGACACATACCCAGACCTTGTTCATCACATGCTTTTTCTTTTTGGAACAGGCTCACAGGATCAACACCAAAACAAAATGTCACTGAAATCTTTTTATGTAACAAAACTATGCCTCAATAATAACTCATCCACACAATCCAGGCCTCACAGAGATGCTCAATCTCCACCTACTTCAACTGCAGCAAAGCTCATGAGCACTGCACACAATTGTTTGCAGAATGACGGTAATGGCTAAAAGTTAAATAAGGTAAACTAAAAGTTAAAAGAAATTCACATTTGATGGATCATTGTCTTTTTATAGGTTTTTAAGTGCCCATAAAGCGGAGCTGTTTGGGAACAGCTTGGTAAGGCAGATGGAACGATGTTTTCACAGATTACGTTGAGCTCTGGGGAAATCTGTTCTGCACCCCCTACCCCCCAGGCCGTCTACTCTGCTACCCCCTTCTGAGTGTATGAAAGGTGATCTGGATGAAGAAAACACACCATATCCCACTTACCTCCATCTGAGGCAGCAAGGGAGGAGAGAGGGAGAGAGAGGGAGAGAGCACATGGGACATTAGAGAGGTGAAGTGGATAGCCCCGCTGGGTCCCGGGCTATACGCTGAAATCTAATTCTCATCCAAACACAATCTATTACTCCTGTCAGATGCAGCAGTGCAGCTTCTATAGGAAACACTCGGTGTAATAACCATCCTACACAGCTTCATTTGGAGCAATTTTCAAAGCAATCTCTCTATGCTGCGATTTCAATATTGTGAAGTGACCTATCTTTATTATTGACACAGACAGGTTTGCTGGCTTTGCTCAATAATACTATAATATCATTCATGCACAAGAGGTTTAGGACTCCTTTGACTAATCTCTAACATCTCCACAATCCTGTCATGTTTTCATTTTATCAAATTGAATAGGCCCCTAATCGAAATCCTCTCGCTTCAAATGAAAGTTATTTGGCTATTTCAGCTTTCCCAGTGTTACGCTGCAGTGGCTATAATGTCTCACAGTCACTCTAAGATCCAAATCTCCTGCCAACTATTTTTGGACAGCACACAAACTTCTATAAAATGTTATCTCTTAATAAAATAACATTTGACTGTTTTATAGGTAACCATAAACGCCTGGAATACTAAAAATACAACCCTCTTCTGTGTTTAATGGCCAGAGGGTTAACGGTCAGTAAAGGTTGTTAAGCCTAATTTTTGTAAGTGTGCATTGTGTGACAGAATGTGTGGCCTCACCTTTCATGGCCTCAGCTGTCTGGACGAGCTCTGTCACACTCGCTGCAACATGCTTCGAGTGTAAGGCCAGCTGCTGTTTCTGCTCCGGTATGGGCTTGTGCAGCACCTGAAAATATAAGAGGCATGCGTACATGTATTGTTATATATACTCCATTTCTACCATTGAAATGACTGCCAGTGATAGCTGGGAAAAACAAGTACATCTGTTTTGTTCTTTTTCCTGAAATCTCATTCAAATATATTTTTAGCAACCCTTATTATTGGCAATGAAGCAACAGCACACTCTTTATGATAAATCACTAGCTATATCACAAGGTACTTTAAGAAGCTAATGCTCTGCCAGAGTCAACTTGATGTACTACAGTATTTACTAATTATTGAAGTGAGATAATTAAGAAAGTTACTTAACACATACATTAGAAACTGTTACATGGCAATACATTTGTCTTAAAATAAAAATATGGGGAGTGTTATGATATTATGAACTAAGGAATTAAATGAAAACAAGTGTTACTGATTAATATTTAGATTAATGTCACAATGTTCTCCAACGTTTAATCAGATCTTCTGTAGGGGTATTTCTGTTGCTATGGACCGATGTGTGATGTGGAAATAATGTGTTCAGTTATGCAGTTCATTTGTTAATGGCTGACAATTGTTCATGAGACCATACTTTGAGCATAATGGTGGCATTATACTATTGTTTTGATATTGACAACAAGCCTCAAGAAAAGACCAAATAACAGTGTGTAAGACTTTCTTTCCCTGACGGTGACACTCAATATCAATCTTTTTGAAGAGCTGGGCAGTGTGATTTTAAGTAAACATTATTCAAACAATTGAGTGCATTTGTGTGGGTATTTACATCACCAGGATTGATTCAAAATAAACTACATGTTCTTCATAGTGAATAACAAATTACACAGTGCAGTATGGCTCATGTACAGCGCTTTGTGTTTGTTTTATGTTTGTAAACAATAATATGAGTTCCATGGCCCAGAAGGCATCAGATACATTGTTGTTTTTTTGTGGAATTTGTAAAAAGAACATCACCAGCCTTATTCTTTTAGTAAGGGTGACACACACACACACACACACACACACACACACACACACACACACACACACACACACACACACACACACACACACACACACACACACACACACACACACACACACACACACACACACACACACACACACACACACACACACACACACACACACACACACACACACACATCACACACACACACACACACACACACACACACACACACACACACACACACACACACAACACACACACACACACACACACACACACACACACACACACACACACAACACACACACACACACACACACACACACACACACACACACACACACACACACCACACACACACACACACACACACACACACACACACACACACACACAACACACACACACACACACACACACACACACACACACACACACACACACACACACACACACACACACACACACACACACCTGTAGGACTTGCTCCAGAAGATTGATGTAGCCGGATGTGCACTCGGAGCCGTACTGGAGCGCCTTGATCCTCAAGTCCTCGTCCACTTCTGGGTGGCAAGCCGCTTGCTGGAAGGGGGAGAAACAATGTTGTTTATAGAATTAAAAAAAAAAGGCACACTGATATGAAAATATGTGCTTAGTAAGGTGTGGAATATGCACCTAATCTAGTGCCAATTATAACAGCTATTAAAAAACGAAATACTCTTGACTCATTTGTTTGTTATATATTGATCTTCAATGCCATAGTGCTCTACTGTCACTGAAGGACATCCTAAATGCTGCTCTGCTGCAAAACGTTTGAAAGTGACTGAGTCACTGCCAGCAGGAGCAGCCATAAACTCTAACGTCCTCTCTGGGTTCACGTGTTTCCTGGCAGCCCGGTGCCTGCTCTGGCCAGGTGGGGGGGGGGGGGGGGATTAGCACCTTGCAGGTAGACAGCATATCGGAGATGGCTTTGCGGCTCAGGTTGGCCGTGGCGATCACGTCCTCCTGCTGAGCCGAGTTGCCTGCAGCCACTGCCTTGGCCGTTGCTATGGTGATGCCCTTTGTCATGCGGATAAACTCCTCAGGTGTGGTGGACTTCTCTGGGATGTCCTTGGACTGGAACACCTGGCATGATGAAGACCCGGAGGACACAGGTAGTTGGATAAAGGCATGACAGGAGCTCAGATATGTTAATATAGATGGGAAAATTCTACGTGAGCACATTATTATAAAGTAGGAAATCACATGTTAAGAAGAGAGGCAGATAGGATGCATAAATAGGGAAATGTGTCATTAGTACTTAGGTAGACTGTGTTGAATTAGGCTGGAGCTCTTGGTAAAGCCTCCTCTCGGGCTGGGGGTCCTCCGATAAGGATTAGCACTAAATTACAAAAAACAAGCTCTTCCTTTCTCACTTTGCCTGCGCCTGCTAGCCAGACCCTGATAAGAGCTGTAAAACCTGCAGGGGCTGAGAGGATCGGCGCTGGACAGATAATAAAGGAAAAATAACAAAAAGCTCCCCTGTTGCGTTGAGAATAATAGACACAGATATCTCTGACCCTCTTTGAGCCAGCTTTGCAAAGAGCCTGTGTTTCATCAGTTGCATATAAAGAAGAGGTTGTGCCTGTGAGAGGCTCTTACTGTCAGCTCCTGTTTGATGCACTCAATGGTGGCCTCCAGTGCCCTCGTCCCGCGAGTCGCCTCATCCTCCACTGCCTTCACCGTTTTTAAAAGAGACGTCACGTTGGTCACCATCACCTGTCACAGAAAGGGAGACATGATGAGGCTCATCGTCAGACCAGGAGGTGGAGCTCTTTATCCTCAGCTGTAAAACGTCACATTACAAGATTGTTTTTTTTCCCTTCACTGATTTCATTACAGTGAATAATGGTTACATGCGTTGAAGGTGCTTTTCTAATGAAAATGAAAGACAGCAGCTGCTGAAGAAACAGAGGCCTGAGGTCTGTATTTCAAATTAAAAGGAGAAGGATTGACTTCTTGTAATTCAGATGATTCAATGGTGACTACAATGGAAAAAAACAACTGAAATTGTATTCATGGTGACACATTCTGGCCTGTCAGTGCAGCATTCAGCAGAGTGTACATTATTAGGTTAGGAATTTGAGCAACATGATCTGCAGGAGTTTAAGAGGGTCCCATTTGGAGGTCACCATATGTTGGAGGAACAGAAACAATCTGTCAACATAGCCAGGTCCATGGGTGGCCCTTATTCCATTTAGATGAGAAAACACAAGAAACCCCATGCAACAGTTGGAGTTACATGCTGTGTTGGGATGATAGTTGTGAGAACAATGAATAAATAACTTGAGGAAGTTTGCAGAACACTAGCATATCTTTGGTTCAGACGTATGTGAGGCTCTGTCACTGCTTAGACACTTTGATCTTTGTTTCTCTATTCGAGTGGCCGCAGCTGGTCGTGTGCAAAATGTCTGATCTCCTCTACAGCAGTTGGCAGCTGTGACTGTGGTCATGATGATTGAGAGTAAAATGACCACTCTCTACTTTCTAATGAATGTATTGTCCAGATTATCTTGCAGCACCTAGTAGTTGCGAAACATCTTTTCTTCTCTTCAGTGTCCTTAAAACAAACATTACACATACTGTGTATCTGTCCATAAGCTTTATATTATAATTTGTGTATTTCTTAATTTAACTACTAGCACTTCTTAACTTAAATTGTTGCTTTTTTTTTATTCAACTGCTGCTATTTCTATCACTACTAATCGCATATTTTGCGTTCCTTTTTTCTAGTTTTGTTTAACCTTTAAGGTATTTATGTGGGGTATAATAATATAACATGTCTTGACCAGATTGTAAAACAGAGAAAGAAGTCTTTGTTTTTTAGCTATGTAAATAATACTGACTCGACATGACAAACAAAATTGTTGGGCTGACTATCCTTGAAGCATCACTTAGATCAGGTTTTGACAGTCAAGCTGATTCATAAAGGACTAACGTCTCTACAGACACAATATATGGACTCTTGTGTTTACAGTTCCTTTTCAATAAAGCAAACTCACTTTCTATCTCACACACAAAGATGCATGAAAACAATGTAGATTTATAGTGATGGGTCCAGTGCCACATGCAGATAAGACAGAGACATGTGTCTTGCAAACCTTCAAGGACTGGCATATAGTTCTTTTGAAAAAGCCTTACTTTGTGCTACCAGATACATCAAAATAAACAAAGCAGTAATACAAAGAGAGCATTTCTATAACACATATCTACAGTGTATGCAGTATCCTCTCAGTGAGGAGGCATACGCTGAATATTAAAATGGAGACATTGCTGAAATCAATACACAGCTAAACCAGATATGACAGTCATTTGTTAAAGCGGATTATTCCTTTACCTTGGCAGCGCTCTTCAGCTGATACATGGACGGGTCGTCAGCTGGCTTGCCCGCGGCACACTTGGTGGCGCTGATGAGTTCGGCCAGGGCCTTGGCCACATCCCGCACCGCGTTTATCAGAACCACCTGAGGAGATAGAGCGGGAATCAATAATGGAGAGAGTACAGGTTTATCAGTAGCACCCAGGGGAGAGGATTTAACACCGCTGCCCTCATCACTGCCACCTCGTCATGATACGAGTGGTGAAGGGCAGAGATACAGGCATACACACAGAGGAGACACAATGGGTATCACATGACACTGCAATTACAAATGAATCTAATGCTGGGTGTGGAGAAAGATACATTACATTCATTCTAAATGAATAATACAATATAATAGTATAGTGATAATGTGTTACAATAGAAAGCGCTGTTTAGCTTAGTGTAAAAGTAATGGTCAAACTTTCTAGGATGCCCATGACTATAATGCAATAAAAAAATCCTGGTGACCGGCGATTATGAAAGTATTAGGATAACATTTAAGTAACACTGTCTTAATAATTATAAAATGATTGTTAAAAATCATTATGAATAATATATTAGTTTTTATAACTATGATTATACAGTGCTATAAAAAATCAGGTGTCATAGAAATGGTCACCAAAGTAATTATTGTATCAAATGTAACTTAATTTCAGTACCATATTTACAATGAATCCAACACCTACACTTGTTCCAGTGTTTCCAAAAACAAAAGGCATAGCTTGTGTCACCTTGAATAGTCTCAATAACGGCCAAACAAGTGATTTTTGTTAGAAAATAACAATAATGTTTTATTTTTTCCTCACCTGTGTCTCTGGGTCCTCAGAGCCCATGCTGGTGGCTCCCAGTTTGACCACCTCAGTGAGCTGGGTGATGGTCTTGGCCGAGGACTGGGCCGCCTGGGCCAGTTTCTCCTGGCTGGACGCGGCTCCAGCCACCAGCAGCTTGGTGTCCTCCACCAGCGCCTTGGCTGTCTTCAAGATGCTCTCCCTGAGGGACGGGACACATTGTGTCACAATCTGCTGCACAGTCACACTCAAGTACCGGCAACACGCAAGGAAGCTGTTGTTTTTGTAAAAGAAAGTGTGTTCAAAAATTGTATTTTTAAATGTTCATTCATTACGTAAAGAGCATCCGGATATTGGGCTTTATTGACAAACTGCATTTCTGCTCAGTGAGTCATCAAAAGGAAAATGGAGCTCTGAGGTTACAATGTAAAAACTTAACAACTGTAATCTTAGTATAACATTTTATATTATATATATATTTCTCAGAACACATGTTAACATTTCCTTTTCAACCTCATCAACTTTTTCTTTTTTTAGAGACTTTCGTTTAACATTGTGTGTTGGTCAAGGTCGTTGCACCTGTGGTCAGCAAAAGACTCTTCATTCTCAGGGCTCAGTGTTCCAGCTGAGGCGAACATGATGGTGGTGTCCAGGTCAGCGATGATGCCAGAAACAGCGCAGGCTGCTGTGATGCAGGCCTGGGTGCCTTTGTTCCCTGCCTGCAGAGCTGACAGTACCAAGGACACCTGGAACATGTGAAGCAGAGCATTAGATATGCAGAGAGTCCTTCAAACACGCTGTTTTCAGAGGTGTAAAAAGCACCTAAGAATAACCCTAGTTTCGGTGTGCTCTGCATATTTTTGTATGATTAACCAGCAGCTTTTCTACTCTCTGGGATGTTGGCAGAGCCCTTATAAATCAGGGGAGTGAGGTTGTAAATATTTAGAGTGAAAGATATGGTCGAGCTGGATTAAAGGAGGATGCTGGGAGTAAGAAGAGGGAGCCCGGTTAAACATGCATCAAATTAGAGTCTGCTGCACAATCACATTAAGTCAATGAGCCTGAGTCTGCAAATCACACATCTCCCTTGAAGACTGCTGTCCGCCTGCCCCTCTTAAACAAATGGAGAGCTCTTAGAGGTGCATTTCAAACAGGCTCAGGCTTCACGTATCAGCAAACCTATGACCACAAATTATTCACGTTTGGTATCAGCCCTTAATCAATTCATTGCCTCAGAGTGGAGAGAAATTCTAATGTGTGAACAGCACGGCTAGCTGCAGCCGGGTCGCAGCAGGGGGACATTAGTATTATCATTAACAGCACAGTGAGGGGCTGATCAGGAGAGCAGGCTCACATGACCTGCATGACTGGTACAAAATAAAGTAAAAAAACAGTTATTCCCACCTAGAATAACATACAATATAGTCCTCTGACTCTATACTAGAGCAATATTGGGCTAAAGCTACACTTTAAAGTTCTCTTATCATAATATTTTTAGGCATATATTATAGGTCTCAGATATATAAAAAACATGTATATGAAGTTTTTTGCTCAAACTACCAAACAGATCACCCATTCTAGCCTCATCCCCCTCTATTTCAGCCCTGTTAGAGAAGTGCTGATTCTGGGTCCGTAGCTTTAAACAAAAAAAAGGAGGGGGGAGCTAATGCCTGCTCATGCAGGAGAATTCTACCCAGATACTCAGCTAAATGCTGCTGTGATTAAACACCATATTATGTTCAAAACCACATCAAGGATTATTTCTGAAACGGTATGGAGCTCAAATGCTTTTTCTCTTTTTACCACAAGGTGAGTACCTTTTTATTTCTTGCTTTTTTTACACATACATCCAGTACAGCGTTAGCTCTGAGTGTTAGCGGTGCTTGCTAATGGAAACAAAGACCATATTACTTCCAAAACACGTCGTGCATTGTTTCTGATAGCGACGTATCTGATAGGGCCGTGGGCGTAAAGCCAGCCCACATTTCAGATATTACGTCATATCGGATGCAAATCTGGATCAGCTCCTGTTTTCTGACACTTTGTGAGTTCCCTTACATACCTGGGACACATATTTATGGATAAAAGACATACAAAAGTGCATTTTGCATGATAGGAGACCTTTAATAATAATGAATAATAATCATAATACAAAGCATACCTGTAACAGTATAGTAAATAGTTATTCACACCTGAACTGCAGCAACTTCTTGCAGCTACACAAAATTAAATTATCTTAATCACCTTATTTAAATAAGTACAGATGCATAAAATACACTTCTAAAAGCAGAAATGGCAAATTACGACAGCAAAAAAGAGACTGCCCCTAAACATGTAGGTTGTGCAAAGCTTTCTTCTGCGGGAGTTAAAGATGTCTCCCTGGCTTACCTTCTCGGTGACGGCGCGGGCACACTCGATGAGCTCCCTCTTGGAGAAGCTGTCCGTGGGGCTGAGCTGCAGGGCTCCAGCCTTCTGCACCATGTAGATACAGCCGTGGCCCAGCTCCTGCACTCGTGTCTTTATCTGGAACCCAACCTGAAAGCAGAACCAGACATCGACTTACGCCGCATCCATCTTCTAATTTGTTTCACTGTGCGAAACAATTGCACTCATGTCTTCAACTGGCATGTCTCTTATCCAGCAGTTGGATGAAAATGAATTGAAGCACCCTCACAGAGGGAATGGTGGCCCTACACCTTTCATTTACAGACTGAGATTCACGGGTGGGTGGTACTTCATTATAAGCATCACTATAGGCTTTTAGACTTGTACTTCGAGGCACAATGTCGCTATGGTAACCAGCAGGGTTTCTAGCAGCCTCTTATGTACAAGATATTGATAAGAGCTGTGCGCTTATTAGTGCAATGTTTCCACACATTGCTGTCCTCTGGACTACACAGAGAAGCTTTAAGAAAAGTCTGTCTTTCTGGACGCTGGAGGGGTTTATTTCTGTTTGATCTCACACAGTCGGGAGCAGCCTTGAGGAAGGGGCGTCACAGCTCACATCGGCTCTGATCACTGAGTGAGTGAAAACATCCCAAAGCGTTTCTGGTGTAAAATACAGCCCTTAGCCGATATTTCAGTCTGACGTTTCAGGGGCACAATTGCAAGAGAGATATACTGCGGATATGGTCAATCTTTTATATCATCATTTTATTTTTCCCCATATGCGCCATAGGACAGAGAGCGTGGCTTCTCACCTCGTTGGGCTCTGCGGTGGCTGCAGCGAGGCGTCCTTGGTGTGCGAGCTGTCCGTAGTCCACTGTCACCTGAGAGGCAAGGCCACCGAGCTCTTCAGGGCAGGTTATTGACTTGGTCATCTGGCGACAGAGAGAACATACATCATCAGCAGAGGCAGATTGATGTTTCTCCAGCCCTACTGACAAATATTGTCATGGCAGATTGGAAACGTAATGGAAAACACATAGAGTCAGGCGTTAATATCTTAGTGCACTCACCATCTCCTGCGCAGTGATAGCGATGGCCTTGGAGTACTTCACCATGGTGGTCTGGTAGTCCACAAACGAACCCTCAGGCTCGGGGGGTGTTCCTTCATCCAGCTGGGAAGATTAACCTTTTAGTTATCATCTCTCCATAGGACATGGTGCAAAGCTATCCTCAGTGTTTACTACAATTTACTTTATGTGAGATTTTTGTTATCGTTTGGTATCACTTTTAATATAAAGCTAAACAAAGGTTTTGAGGTTTTATTTGCTTATTCCATTAATGGTTAATAATTATTCCACCATTTCTTTAAGGCCTGGTCTAATAGCTTAGTTACAGATTCTGCTTTAAACTTTGTTCCTAAATGTCATGCTTTATTGATAAGTATTATTATGATGTTCAAATCTGAGGATCTTTTGGTTTTGAACAGTTGTGTCAGCGCGCAATCAAGTGAAGGATGCAATTGTTTCCAATGCAGCTTGTGTTTTTCCCCGAAGTTATTACTCATCAAGTTGGATGTTGCTGAAAGAATTTTTTTTACATTAGAAAAATCGTCTCCAGCTGTGAAAGCTAATAATTCAATTATAAATGGTCCTCTTCTGTAGGAGAAGTATGAGGCAGCTTCAAAGATAAATCAGATATGTTAGGAATACCAACACACTATTGGCAGCCCAGGATCTATTTACAGTTCAAGGTAATTCATATATAATTTATTAACAATAAAAAAGCCATAATTGAGAAAATATAAACCTTTTTATGTATAAATTCTTGTAAAATGGGGCCACTTTATAAAGGCTCATATGGTTTTAATGACTGTTGCTCTCCTGCGTTTAAGCTGAGGGTAAAATTAAATGAAAAACACAAGGATCTTAGCCAAGAGGATATTTTCTGGCTATGAGCAGATCATCACCAATTATTAACTGTGATGACTACACAGTGACATGTCCCCCGGCAGGACGAGTGACAGCTAACATCACCAGTGGGCTGTGGGTTTAAAACTTGTCATCCCTTAGACTAATGAGAGTCACTGACAAGGACATGGTCGCTGCACACTCACTGTGGATTTTTTCTCTTACAGGCAAAGCTCCTTTTGCCTTAAGGTTGGGAATAAGTGTCAACCTGAAATCCATTTAAAACCACCTGAGCAGACTGGTAACACACTGATGCATTCTTTATCAAAACACACACAAACACACCCTTACTCACCCTGCCCATGGACTCAGCGATGGCCTCCACCATGCCCCCGACCATGCCTCCTTCACTGGCCGCCTCATTCAAAGTAACCATGATGTCGTCCACCGCCTCCTTCATCAGCTGGGATGCTTCAGAGATGGCATCGTGGGTGTGGGACGCCTGGGGACACAGCCAGCAGATTAACGTTTCTGTGCCAATGTCTTGGTCGAACCAGAATGAAATTCATCAGCATGTCCCTACAGCTGGTGAGTACGCAGTGCCACACTGAAGGACACTTCACCAGGCTGGATTCTTGCTGCTGTAAGGACTTGTACTATCCCTATTTTTGAATTGTTAAAACTCAAAATGAAACAAAAGAAACATTGTTATTTATTTTTGTTTTATCTCCAGTGAACATAATATGAGACTTATTAAACAGAACAAATATGACATGTAGCACTATCCCAGAGAGCACACATTCCCTACAGTTCTCAATTACACTGAATAATGTAGGCAAGGTTAGACAGACAACAGAGGTTTATCACAAGGATCTTGTATTTTTTCTTTACTTATGGTGGCTGAGCTTGAGGAACAACAGAAACACCAGGGGTTACAAGTTGTGTAATAAACAGGGGCTCCTGCTGATTTGTTCTGAGTTTGAAACGAGCAAAAAGACTTATAGCTAAAAGAAAACGTTATAGAGAATTTCCGAAAATTAGGCAGATGTAAGTTCTTCATGATCCCCTTTATTAAAATCAATAAACCCTTGAAAGAACAGGACTGTGTAACTGTCCTAACCTGCTGAAATGTTGCTTAATATCACAGGTGACTCTTGGAATAGAGGTAATGATAGGTTAAACAGTCTGTGTCTATACTGTATGAGCGGCTTAGCACCTTTGGGTTTCCCCCTCCTTCCTTGGCAGCGTAGAGCATCTGCAGGGCAGACTCTGAGAGGGTCTTGGTCTGGTCTAAGATGGTCATCTGCTGCTGGTGGTCGTGCAGCTTAGAGGCCAGGCCCACCGCTGCCACTATGAGGGGATCAAAGTAACGGGCGAGCTGGGACACCTGTGAGAGAAGAAGTATTAGAGAGGAAAGATTTCATCACAAGACAGAAGACAGAGGGAATGGGTTTTTCTTTCTAAATCCAGGGGGGATAAAGGGATATATGGTCAGACCAGCACCTTGTGTCCTAGTTGGGCAGCTTCCCCTCGAGCCGTTGTGGAGACGGGATCAATCAGATGCCCAATCTCCTGCACAGAGGATGTCAGCTGATCCTGGAGGGCCTGGTGAGTTACAACAGCAGAGAATTACGGTCTAAGTCACAGCAGAAAGTCTACAGATCCCATTCAGTTCTTTCTCTCGGACAAGATGGAGCTGATGAGGTACTTGAACTCACTTCCATGGAGATATCATCTCTGCAGGGCAAAGTCTGCCCAACTGAAGCTAGGGAAGCGTGCTCAATGTCCCGGATACACTTATTGATGTTATCAATGGAGTAATCACACTCCCTCTGGCCCGGTGCCTTGTCCCTGTTATCAGAAATGTTAAGAAATACATGTGTTAATAGTGTTTTACATTGTTGTGCAATAAATATATAATACATTTAAACAGTTTGAATATTGAAAAGACTAAGAGGTATAAACATCCCCAATTCATCTCACATAGATACTTAAATACATTTAAATGTAATAGTTTGACAATACGGGAAATATTTTCTTCCCACTTTTCTGACTGGGTTGGATGAGAAAATGTACACCATTTTTACATCTGTATGTTTTATATGGAGCTACAGCAGCTGGCCTGGAAACAGCTAACCTGTCTCTGTCCAAAGGTACAACTAAAACTGCCAATATCTTGTTTGTTGTACCTGCAGAGTGGGTTTTACAGGATTTAATGGCCAGGGGTCTCCCCATCACCATGAGCTCACTTTTAAGCACACGTTCAGACATGTGATAACCAAATGCAGTCTATTGTGGACCGTATCTATCTGTGAGTATAGCATATGCCTTGGTTTGGGGGATGATGATTAGATAGATCTAGGTGGGTAAGTACCTTTGACTAAATGTGTTGCAGATCCACTGGAATATCTCCAATGCTCAATACAGTAGCTTTAAATAATCTATTACGAGGCAGCCCATCTCAGCAGGTATGAACTAATGTGACAATTTATTGCTTATCTGAGCAGAGTAAGCCCTCTGGCTTCAGAATCATATTTTTCTGTGGGTAACCAACAATAATCCTTCAGAGACTGATGTGGCAGGAGATAGGAATTATACCAACCTGATGGAGGTGATCAGACTTTTGATGGAGTCAGAGACTGTTCTGGAGTGGCCAGCCAGTATGGACCATGTTGGAGGATCTTTGGGGTTGAGCACCAGCGAGCGGGCTGTTTCTAATAGATAAGTGGAGCTATCGAGCATGGAGCGGGCTGAACGCACAATGGGCTCCTGAGATGCTGAGCCCTGTGGAAATAAAAAGATTAGTGCAGGTGAAACAACAGCCCAGGGAGCATCTCAACAGCAAAGAGCTCGCTAGCCACATGTTCATGACAGAGGTGTTAATATTCCTTGACTACCTGGGAGAGATCAAAGGCCCAATCAAAGGGAGGGATGAGATTAAAAAGGCAGCTTTACACAGATGCAGGAAGAAACACCTTCAGTCTTTATGATCCCAGCCAAAGCTTCCCTCGGCAATTAGATGAACAAGCTGAAGATTAGAGCAGCTGTGCTGAAAAAGAGTGCAGTTAAACACTGCCCTCCAACAGATTACAGCCATAAAGCTTTTAGAGGACTGTGCGAGAACTGCTTCACTCAGATTGAAAAATAAAAAGCCATCTTTCTTCTAGAGTCTTTAAAACACAGAAAGAAAAGGGAACATTGGACCTTAATCCAATTCCCCCCTTTGATCGCTGTAAAAACCTTTCTGTGTTGGCACATATAAAAGTGTCTGTTTGAAGGGGATTGAGAGCAGGAGTGACAAACATATTCATGATCTCTCTGAAGAGAAGCTTCACTAGGATGAGTGAGAAGAGAAAGCTAATTGGATGTTTCTGAGTCCCTGGTGAAATATAACCAGTCATTTTCATTCAGCTAAATCACTAGGAACTGAGGAAAGAATCAAAAAGAAGGTTCTGAACCAACACGGATCAAATTAGATGAATACCTCATGGCTGATTTGCGCTGGGATGCTGGCAAACTCAGGGTTGTTGGAAAAAGTTGACAGGTTTTCTACAGCCTCAAGGAGAGGGGTCGTAGCAACACGGCATCTGTTTCTATTATCTTCCGAAAAATCCCCGTCCGAGCCCTGAAACAAGACGACTGCATATAAATATTTGTCTAATTTGGTCATATTTCTGTAAGCCACTGAATTATACACACAGCTTCTCACGTGACGAAAGAATTCTGTAACAAATTTACACTCAACGTTTTGATCAGTTGGGGAGTTGACCTTGATGGTTTTGACAAGGTTGGCTGTGGTGTTGGCCACCTCTTTGGCTGACTGGACAAACTGTCGCCTAGCCACAGGGTTGGAGGTCTTAGAAGAAGCCAGGCGGCAGGCGTTACAGAGAGCTGAGGTGTGCTTGGCTACAATTGTTGCTGCAGACAAGATCTGACAAAGAAAAGACAAACAGGAAGCAGATTTTTTATGAAATGAGGCATCCCAGTGAGGTGTGTAGAGTAACACTCAGGTGTATTCTAAGGTTTTCAAACTTAAAGTGTTATTAAATCAGTCACAAGAGATTTATGTAAAACACTACTGCTCTAAGATCAGTCCCCATTGGCCAGGGTTTGAATCTTCTTACCTGTGAGGGACTGCTGGCTGGGTCAACTAAGTTCTGACAAGCCATCTGTATGGCCTGGTGGGCTTTGGCAAACTGGATGGGGTCCACCAGCCCCTCGTGCCCTGACTGACTATTCGGATCAGACACACCTACAAGATAAGAGGCCTACAAGGAAGAAAACACAAACAGTTATATTAATGTTTCAGTTTTCAAATTAAGAAAGTATTTTTGTTTTGTATGATCCATTTGTTGTCAAAAACAAGCTAACACCCACCACATGCAGTCCACATTCTCTGACAAATATGATCACATGATTACAGTACATGGACAGATACATTTTTAAATGATATTGTATACATTTTGCATAACAGGAGAGCTTTCTGCAGAGGAAACAAAAGATCTGTCAGAATGCCCTTTTCCAGACAAGGCAACTGAATGTTGAATAGCAGTTTTCAGCTTTAGGGATGGGAGCCAATGAAACCTGGCTATCTGTCATAGCTTGCTAAGCTTTAAATGCCACTTATGAATGGATTCCTTCATGTCAAGATGTTTGAATCTGTTTTCATGTATTGTTGAGAGGGCTGTAACAACCTTTAGAAAATGCTCAACAATTAGTTTTTCCTAATTGAAATGTTACCAGATGAATTCTAAGTAGATTAAAACAAACAGGAAGAGTAGTACAGAAGAGGAAACAGCTCAGATGAAAGCCAAAGCATGGTCATAATAGTTAAAGTTACTATAATGCTGTGATCTCACCTGTCCTGCAGCCTCCGTCAGGCCACACAGAGCTTTGGACGCCACGCACACGCTCTCCCCAAAGGCCATTACATCCCCTGTTTTACAGTTATGTGATATACCTGCCATTGATTCTCCTAGGACCTGAGGGGTGAGGAAACGGAGAAAACATATTTGAATTACATCTTCATCTGCCTAATATATAAACTATCTCTGACAGGTAAAGTATATAGATTAGACAATTATCTTTGAAAAGCTGTACCTTTGAATTCTCCATGACGCTCTCGATGCAGTCAAAGTAGGAGAGCTCGTTGACAGGCTCATTGGGATTATCTAGCAGGCCTCTGACAGCCTACACACAGACAGAGATGATGAGAACTAAAACTAGAATGGACACACCACTAAACATTCCTGCCTTGATAGTACACTTTAATCAGCAACTAAATTCAAAGAAAAAATAAATACTATAAATGTAAATCAAACTGATGAGAATATACTGCCTTGATAAATCATCATAGTCAAGCCTTTAAAATGTTCAGTAACTTGAGTATAACTGCATGTAGGCTTAAGTATGCAAAAATGCTCTGGTTCAACGTGTGTCACTAATGCACTTCCTATAGTTCTGAATTAATTATCCATCCACAAGAAATGGCTTTCGGGACTTAATCAAATGCAAAATAGATGCAAAGAAAAGGATGAAAAAAATGCACTTAGTTTCCTCGATAAAACCCATACAGGCATGAAAAGGCAACAGAAAACAGTCCTGAAGAGAAGGAGTCTGTGTGTGGTACAGTGTATGTGAGGACGGCTACCTCCAACTCCCTCAAGGCGTTGTCACACTCCCTTTGTCCTGCTGCTTGCTGGGTACAGAGCGTGATCAGCTGGTTAATACTCTCTGTCACTGCCCTGAAACACACAGACACACACACAGGCTTTTTAGCTCTCACATGTCTCCTCCGCATGCACACACAGCCTGGCTTCACTCTCACATGCTTTCAGCTCCCCATTGAAGCATGGCTCCGTCGGCCCCTCACTGCGATGGGCTAACACAGCGCACAGAAGAGCAGAGATTCTCTTGAGTTTGTGTTCAGCCTCGCTGAGCACAGACAGGCCCTAGCATAGGCTTCCATCTTCTTAATTAGACAGAGCGAAGTCGGCCAGGCCCAAAGCCCTGCGGGACCAGCTGTTGGCTTCTTACTACGCACATCCCTCTAGCAATACCGAACACACACAGCTTGGGAGTGGCATACAGATGCAGCAAAGACAGACATTTAATACAAAAAATCTGATTTCTCTAAATTTGATACAGATATTTTTGACAATATGGCAAGTACAAGTACTGGGAAGGAGAACATCTGATACATATCAGGGCCTATCTTCAATTTATCGCACCTTGCTGCCACAGCTAGAAGATTCTTAGCATTGGCTGCACCTGGATCCACAGACAGAGACTTGGCAGCCAGCAGCAGCTTACTGGACGCCATGGAGATGTTTTTCAGATTACCAATGACTTGTATCTGGTCGTCCTTGCTCTGCAAAGACAAGGGAAAAGAAAAATACAGGTGATTTTTTTTGTTAGATTAAGATTATTTACTGTATCTGCAACAACTATCAAGAGATAAACTATTGTACAAATGTATTTGATTTGTCCCTAACACCTATATCCTATTTCCTCACTCAGCAGGCAGCTTTAAACCTGATTAAAGCTTGGGGGTTATGCTACATCAACTCCAATCCCAGACGATCTTTCCAAATTAATGAGCAAAATAACCGGAACAGGAACATCATGAGATCTCATTACATCAGACTGCGTTATTGCTCTTGGGGACATCATGTGCCAAAGTGAATTAGATGAAAAGGTCTTATTAACAAATTGCTTAAATATGTTCGGCAATAAAGTGACAGAGCTTTTCTTCGCTAAGCATTGAAGACTTTATCCATCAAAGGTTTGAATGACAGTGAGTTACCATTGAACTGTTTCCATGTGGTGTGGAGGGGGTTGTATGATCATGAAACCTACCTGGGTGTGTCCTGCCATCTCAACACCAGCATCCAGGAACTCATCAAAGTCTTGGCTGAATTTTCCCGACGCCGCAGCCAGCTGGCCGCTCGTTCCCCGAGAGGAGTGGACGACCTCGCCTGCAGAGTGGTTGAGTTCAGCGGCTGTGTGGTTCAGGTCACTCTGGGCCTCCTGGAGCGCCTTACTGCAGGGAGGGAGCTTCAAAGACATGACACACACCAATTAGGGCTTAATGTAAAACACAGACTATCAAAAATCTAACAAAGATTGAGATATTTTGTATTTATTAAGCCCTTGTTTAACCAGGAAAGTCTCATTCAGATAACACATCTCATTTTTAATTTTCAGAATTTGTATTTCTGTTGTACCTATACAGTATGTTCACTTTGTTTTATGGGGTTTTATATTTTATATTGTTGCATCGATTCAGTTGTCTTGTGTCTTATCTGTCAGAGAGAAACCATTATTTATTTTATTTTTATTATGATACATTTAACCTCCTTGTGTCTATTAACCTGTTAAAATATTATATTTTGCTGCATGCACCTGTAAAGTTCTTAACAAAGAATCTGAGGGGAATTTCTTGTTGTTTATTTTTTACTTGTGTCATTTTGTAAAGCACTTTGAGCTGCATGTGTTGTATGAAAAGTGCTATATAAATAAAGTTACAGTTACAGAACAAATTAAAAAAACAATAACTGTGAACATATATGGTCACAATCACACCATCATCATAAAAAGCATCTACAGAGTTGTCTGCTTCCCGTTCATTAAGAAGTATTCAGTATTCAGGTTGTATAATACTGATGGTGTCAGTACAGATGCTGTGTAAATACAAAGTAGATGTCAAGAAATCCCCAAGTAAAGACGGGACTCACCATGTCAACCAGCAGCTTCTTGCTGGCTTCACCAATGCTCCTGAGGGCCATGTCGACATCCTTCTGGCCTGGCAGGCAATTCACGCAATTATTCAAGGAGTGCGACACTGCTTTGGCCACCTGAAACACAGCACAATGCTCTGTCAATGGACTGCCATTACTCACTCTAACAATGTGCTACACAACACAAAGTCCCAGAGCGCATCTATATGGGGAAAAACATCTCCAATGCAAATTAGGCTAACCGGGGTGCAGAGTAATCCTAGTCACTAATTTATGCTGCTGTCACAGATATATGCCAAACAATATGTTTATGCCCTGAAGGGCTGCTGGATATTGAGCATTTTCACTGTGGCACTCCTGAGAGAGGAACAGGCGAGAGGCAGAGCAGAGAGAAAATAGCAACGCTTAGAGCTGGATGATTGTTATGGAAAGAATGTTTATAAATCAGCAGAGGAGAGGGAGAGTCCTGAGAAGAACAATATGATGGGTATATAAGTTTCCCTGCCTGTAGGGTATACATTACTGGGAGCTATGATACCTGTGCGAGTCTCTGCTGACTCTCAGCATCCCCCGGGTGCACCAGGGCCTGATGGGACTCGTGGATCAGCATGGCCGAGCCCTCCATGACACACTGGGCAGAGTCCAGCATGGCAGCAGCAGCCTGAGGCTCTTTGGTGCTGGCTGCTACACCTCTGGCTGCCTGAGCCAACGTCCTCAAAGCCTGAGCTGTTTCTCTAGCAGCGACACCTGCAAAACACATGATGGAATTATAATGAATATTATCAATCACAGGGACAGAGATAAACAGACTAAACTGACACTTTACTAAACATTAATCTAATTCCCATTAGTTTTACAGTCCTGTTTAAGCATTAGCAACTGAGAGGTATGTGTATCTGCTGTCTTTACTATAATTGGAATTTCATTGCGCAAATCAGCTGGCAGGGGCTAGCTGTACCACACTGAGAACAAACTGTGTTACTGAAATGCTCTCATTGTTTAAATAAATGAGCTAATATAATAAATATGGCTCCACATGGGAGGTGCCCTTAACTTATTATACACAGAGCCGAGAAGAAAAAGCAGCAAATTGCATCAAATTGCATTAGCCAGCCAAGTGGAGCCATTTGCTGATGGAATGTTAAATCTAGTGAAAATAAGATTAATGAGTAGCGAGCAGCCCTGTGGGCCACAGCATGAAGTGCTGCCTGGGAGCAGTCATTGTTAGCAATGCTTTTCTCTATCTGTCTTCATCTCTTGTCCCGTGAGACTCACAATTGGGCCAGATTGATGGCAAATCAGCCAAGCCATGCTGGATTCAAAGGGTTCAGTTTATAGCAATAATGATGGCACAAATAAATGATTCATAATGTTTTTATGCCTGCTTTATCCTTTCACTCCCACTCGTCAGTTTAGAAAACAAAAAAATAAACAAAATGTTTTATTAAAAAATTCAGTCAGGATTTATCATTTCCATTCTTTCAATGTAACTACTCAAGACAAAGGTACATGATTTAGCTTAGTGGTTACTGTACTTCAAAATCTCCTTTCCCTTACCTGTGTAATGTTCATTGCCCTGTGCAGCACATGTTAGCAGCTGGGCCATGGAGGAGCCCACAGCCTTAGATGTACTTCCCAAATCCTGAGCACACTTCTCCAGCTGTTTGAGCAACAGAACACGCAAATAAACCATGTTATTCATAGTTGTGATCTAATCATGTTAGTATGCTTACAGTTGGATATCTACAGTATAATGTTTCAACAGAACTTCCCAGCAGATGTTGTACTGACCGACTCCCCAGGAAGAGGTTTCAGTTGGCTGTCGATGACGGACATCTTTGCATCTTGAAGCTCGCTCTTCAGTGTCTGTACAGTTTTGAGGGCTGAATCGATCTCCAGTGGACCACAGGCTTCATGGGCCTTAAAAAAAACCCCACAAATATACATTTTACTTACATGTCTGTTATGCAGTGCAGACAGGATGACAGCCTATATGCTGTGCCTGCTATCTGTAAATGAGTTGTAAAGCTCTACAACAGACAAGAGATGGCAACACATGTCCTGCATCAGTGAGAAGACTCCTGCTATCTCTGACAGTATATAGATACCTTCAGGGTGGCCGTCCTGAGCTCGGCCAGGCAGGTAGCCAAGTTTTTGGCACACTGCCCAAGTTGCATAGCAGCAGCCTGGTTGGCCACTGTGGGAACTGCTGACTTTGCAGACGTCACCATCTTACTCCCAGGCTGAGCAATGGTGATAGAAAAGAACAACACCACATTCATGAGCACTAAATGAGCAGTTTATGTGTGTGTATCTGATGACAGAGGGTTTGATAGTTGCTGACTGTTTCCTGGGGAAGGGTCTCACCTGTAAGAAGCTCTGGCTGGCCATGATGAGGGTGAGCTGGGCACCGAGCTCCTCGGGCTGCGACTGGCTGCTCCTCATTCCCTGCACCAACTGAGGAATGTTATCTGCTACTGCCTGCAATGAAACACACCAACAATACATTCTTCACATCCACAACATCACGATTACATACAAAAAAAGTGCAGCCAGAAAAATCCACTATACGGTTGTTTTTTCAAAGTTAACTTTTTTAATACATCAGTATAAAGTGAAAATGATCATACCTTGCAGCTGTGCACTAGCTGTTGGTGTGAGGCTGTGTTTTTGTTGGAAGCAGCAGCATTTTGGGCAGCTGCGATAGTCTGAGTAGCTGCGGCCGCTGCCTGCTTAGCAGCTATCTGTTAAAAAGATACAAATGGAAATCAATGAGTAAAGTAAGAGAGTGGAACCTGAGAGTCCCTATTGCTCTGTCTTATGTGTTATTATGCTGTCATGTTCTGTACTCAGTCAGTGTTGTTCTTATCAAAAGGGTCACAAACCACCATTTTGTATAAAGAGAGAAATAGGTGTGATTGCATTGCTAAATCTTTATTTCATAGGATGAACCGCATTGCTTTCCTCTTGGTATGTTTCCAAAACCAACGCACAGCATACAAAAATAAATAACACAAAGCTCACATTAATGCATAGACACAAGACTAGCTTTGAAGTGATGACAAGACTGAAAACAGAGGGAGAAGACATTACTTGTTGAGTGGATGAGGAGGCGAGGAGGCGAGGAGGATGAAAGAGAGCCAGGATACATGATATCATTATACTGAGAGAGGAGTAAACAACACTGAGAATGCGTTTGGAATTGGACAAAGGTAGGAATGGACATTTCTACCTATGTTTCAGCAGGCTCTCTGTATTTTATTTACTTTTTAGTTAAAGCATGCACATATGCACAACAGATGCATGACAGTGTGTCAGGATAACACAAGTAAGATTAATTGGGTTTTAAGGGGTGACAGTGAGAATTGCTACAAGCACACCTGCAGATTCATAACACTTTGATCTCAAACGGCTGATTCATTTCCTTCATGGAGGCCACCGTAAACACCATTATTGTGACCATCTGAGGAAAGGAGGCGGACTGATAGCAGGCTGATAGCAGGCTGATCCCAGCTCTAGGTAATGCATACTTTATGTGCCTAGGAAATTGAACATTGTGCGCTCTGGAGCTAAGAGGGGGTAGTCATTGGGCTGAACTGATACCAAGGGCTAAACGCAGATCTTTACACTCAGATGGCTTATTCACACAACTAATGGGATTTATAGCTCACTGCTACAGGTAAAAAGAGAAATAACACAGACCCATAAACTAAATGGGCCATATTTCTACAAGTGACGGCTGAGGCATTTTATTATTCTCCTTCGGGCATTTGTTTCCTTTTGCTTTGTTATTCAACTACCATGTTATTCTAAAAGGGTTTCCAAAAATGTGGGAAAGGGAGAAACAAGGAGGAGTGTTGTGTTTTCAAGGTCAAACAACACAAAGATGAGAACATGTTGACTCCAGTTTCTCACCTCCAGCCTATTGACCAGTTTTTTCTTTATCGCGTTCTGAGCTGCAGCATTGGTGGCTACACGGAGCCCCTCCGCTGCTTCTCTAAGCCTCTGCTGCTGATCCTCATTCTCTGGGTAAGCAGCCGCCCCCTGAGAGCACATAAACACACACAAACACACATGTCGGTGACACACAGATACAGTATATAACAATAGCTATTCAGACTTTAGCCAGGAAAGTTTAACAACTGTGGTTACACTCGTTGTGCAATAGATGCAAATACTGGATTTAGCTCTGTCTCCTTGCTGGCAGTTTCCAAGGAAACAGTCAGTGCCAGATTCCCACTTCCTCTTTGATAATGACAGTGATGTGGTGATTAATGTGTCACAGATCAGAAACATCTAATGTGCCGTATAGGCAGCGTTTCAGTTGCCTGGGTATTTTAAATTGATAGTGTCCTGCTCGACAGTGCCAACAGATTATTAAAAGCTGCTGATGCTGTACCCTTTATTTATATTGAAATGATACTGTTAGTTAGTGCATACAGTGATACAAAAATGTGTATTCCATAAAATTAAGTTCAGCTGATCTTGCACTCATTCAGTTTGACGTTAGAAATGTAAGAAGACCATATCATATTCACAGAATTACCAGCTGTGGATCAAACTGACTAATGATGTTAAATGATCTAAGTCTGTTGTATTCATTTGGAATAAAGTGCTTAATTACTAAAGTAATGTCATATTCTCAGAAACAAATAAGATAAGGGTATTTAATTGAGGTATTTATAAAAACGTAACAATACTAATTCAATGCTTGACCAAATAAGAAATCATATTTGTTACATGACATTGACATGACATTGAACATCTTATGCTCTTACCTTAGCTGCCTCCACCATCCGAGCTGTGGCATCGGCCAGCAGTTTCGCTGCAGCCAGCAGTTTCTTGGAGTTGTCGACATCTACTTCTGCCTCTGCGTCAGATCTCATGGCATTGACCAGGTCAGAGGTGGCCTGGGCTAACACCCTGGCCTGGCGCACCATCTCACCTGTTCACACATACAGACAGTAAGTAAGCACATAAAGGCAGATGCCCCACGCAAACCGATATTACAGCTGAAAATAGGTTTGTGCGGGAAATCTGATTTGGAGTCTCTGTACATCTGTACAACGAGCACTGTTTGTTGTGCACATTGTCGTATATTTGAATCCATTATGACAGCCACATCTTTTTGAAAGGGATGTTTAAGTTTCAGACTTGTTTTTGTCTATTTATTTTATTTTCTGGATAATGAGTTAAGACTGTAGGGATAAAGTAACCCAAGGAAATGTCTATTTTTGACTCATCTCGTGACTTGAATAAAACATGAACATATCTCATGTAATTGGTGCAGAAATGTTGAACACTGTGCCTAACAAACCAGAGATATTTTAAGTAAAACACGGAATGACAGAACATCTGACAGCAGACAAATGAATTTCATCTCATCGTATATTATATTTTCCTATCACCCAAACCATTGCATCACTACATTTCTGTGAGTGTCGTATCCTTGCTTAGTCACACCATTGTTTTCACCTTTATGAACTTGTATAGCTGAAGGTATCTAGTGAGTCATCTTCTTTTACACAAATCAAAGTCTTTCAGATACATGAAACATCTCCCCACAGATACGCTATAAAAAGCTATGTTTCCCAAACACCCACCTCAAGCTGGAAATAACTCAGAGGAGTCTGTGAAAGACAAGACATCGAGGTGCTTTACAACCTACATCTAATGGCCTTGAGAATCAACTAATACACTATCAGTAGAATGGAGTATACTCACTGAATCTACTGCAACATATTTTCCTTTTTTCTCTCTCTTTATATTTATATTTATAGAAGGTAAAAGGTTTATCCTTCCAAAAATGGCCCATTCATATGTTTCCTTTTAGGTTTCAAAGCCGGGCTGATACTGATTGAGACCAGATTGAGAGCTCTGTAGTGGTTTTGGATGACATGTTTAGCAACCCCTTGAGAATTGGCAGGGTTTGGAAATTCTTCAGCCTCATCGCCTGAACCATAACAAATAGCCTGAGCTTTGACAATGTTTCCACAGGATCTTTTAGATCTCTTAACATGAACAAAAATACAGACAACAATTTGAGGCCCTCATATGTAGTCAAAACAAATATGAACAGGTAAAATGAAAGCAGTTGTTAAATATCACCTTGATTAGTTTTTTACTGTTCAGTCCTTGTTGTGGGTAAACAGAAACTTGAGAGACACTAAACAACTTCAATTGAAAGCATTACTAACTCCTGACACCCACAACGTTCTCTAGTACTTATTTTTGTCCTCACCAGCGTCACCCATAGAAGTGAAAATGTTTTCTGTGACGTTCATGATGGTGTCTGTGGCCTGGTCGTAGCGTCCGATGGGCTCTCCGCAGGTGGCGTAGTGTCGGACGTGTTGCAGCAGGTCGCTGAGGGCCTGGCTCACCACGCCGGCCGCGGCCCCGACCTGCTTCAGCAGCTCGCCGTCGTCGCTGGCTGAACGGCACGCCTTCACGCAAATTTCCACTGAGCGGTCCACCAGCTTTCCGGCCTCCACAAGCTGCTCCTGGCACACTGGGGAGCTTATTGTTGGGCTCACCACCTGCAACACACACACAGTCATCAGCAGAGAATCAGAAAAGTTGTATGACATTTGAAAGATTATATCGCGGTAATTCTTGTTTTATACAACCAAGTATACAGTAATAACTTATAATTGTGATTTAAAAGCTTCTGATTTAAAAAAGTCACAATTTTTTCAAGATATGACACAAAGACATGTTTTTTTAGGTCAATGTTGCACATCCCCATAGGAAACTTTAGTGAAAAGCTGCGATGGTCAGGGTCATATATCCTTTTGGATGATCTCCTGCATGTTGGTATGTCCTTTACCTACTTGGCTACTGAGAGGATCCATTTTAAATCAGTACCTTGGTGCAGGCGACCAGCTGTGAGGTGGACAGGGCACACTGAGTGGCCGCTGCGATCACCCGGTTCTGCAATATGGTGTCCTCGGCCACCTGGGCCACGTTCTTGGCCTTCAGGACCAACATAGCAGCTGCATTGGCCACTGCTTTGGCCAGATTCATCAGCGTGTCCTGCAACATATTAATCAATGTCATTCACGAAAACACTACACAGCTGTGCACATGTGAGAAAAGGGACCAGGAGAGTAAATGTTTTAGCTCAATTTGTGTGAGTGTGAATACTGGATAACTGCATAAAAAAATGAAATTGGGTGCGACAATAACATAATAATAAGCCAGAGGCAGAGAGTGTTTATGAATTGTTTTTGGGAGAAAATAATATTGTGTAGCATTATGTATCCATGTGTTGTTGAGGCTATGAGAAGATATCTGGGAACTAAAATATGTGTATTTGACAGGTAAATATATTTCAATAGAAAATCATGAATGAGGTAGATATTTAGGGCTACAGATAACTTTGTGTAAATGGCTGTTTGAGACACTACAGTTTAATGTTGTACCAAAAACGTTCCTTCTTTGTTATAAAATCCACATAACGTGAAAGTCTAATAGTAGAGTCTGAGGTGATAACTTCAGTATGTATTGACATTTTTAAAGGGGGCCTGAGACTTTGTGTCTTCCTGTTTGGCCGGCAGTGTCATAGGAACAGTGAGTGGGTGGTGTCCAACCTGGAACTTCTCGTCGGTCTCGCCCTCCCCCATGTGACGGAGCAGGTCTCCGCTGGCCTGTCCGATGCTTCCTGCTGCAGTCAGCACTGTCTGTCTGGGCTGTGGGAGAATGACATCATCACACTTATTCCTCCAGCCTGGCCTGTCCTCACACAGGCCTACATGATTTATCTGAAACAGACTTCTGGATCAAAAATCATCCCAGAATACCTTCATCTTCACTGGGACCCTGATAAACAATCAACATGCAGTCAAACACTGTTTGAGGCTTTGTGGCTACTATGATTTCAATGGAGGATGGAGTCCAAGTTAGTACAATAATCAGTGGGCGTCTCACCTCAGCGGCTGCAGGCTCAACAGACCTGAGCAGATCTGACACAGCTCCTGCCAGCATCCTAGCAGCGCCCATGAGCTTATGTCCACTGCCCACCTCATCATCCATTAATGCCGCAAGCAGCTTGACACCCTTGGACATTTCAGTGAGGTTGGACGAGATGGTGGAGATGGCGCAGCCCACCGCTGTGTAGTCGGTTTCTGTAGGCTCACCTGTAAAAGACACACATATCAGTGTCAATGTCATAATCAGAGCCTATTTGAGATCCATGTTGATGAAGTAAGTGGCCATGAAGAAGAAAAACGTTGTATTAGCTAGTGCAGGGAACCAGTGCAGCCAAACAGATGGTGAGGTCAGATTAAAACCCACAAAAAAGCCAGCAGGAACTTGACGGGCATTGTGCCAAGCAACAAGAGGAGCAGAGAGAGAGACATTACAAGTTAGATGAGCTTAAGGATAAAAAGTTCCACATTTATTTATCAGTAGACATTTCTATTAGGAGAAAATAATCGAAAACCACTTTTGTTTAAAAGCTCATAATCAGTGAGGGCTTAACTCTAAAAAAAAAAAAAGGAATCAGTTTTATTGATTCACACCTTGGGCTTGCAGTAATGTAAAAATAAGACAATATTTCAATAAAAAAGCAATTTCCTTTGCCCAGCGCAGACTTCATAAGCCCCCATTCTGGTGTAGAGATATATGAATGCTGAAGCTGTTTAATATTCTCCTGGGCACTCACCTGCTGTGAGATTGACCACAGATGCTGTTCCAGCGGTGATGGCATCAACCTGAGAGTGGATTTCATGTTTGGATTCATCCACTTTGTTCTGAACCCAAACCCTGGACGCCTTTTGGTGGAGGAGGAAAAGCAGAGCGATTGGCTTTCATCACAGTGGGTGATATTCAGTTCACATAAACTTTCTCGTACAGGATTAAAGGACTAGTGCTGCACAACACCTACAGCTTTGGAAACACTCAAGCATTAAATACAGCCTCCGTATTTACAGCCAGTTCTGTGTTATAATTATATTTGAGAAATATGATGGACTTTGATGTGATGGAAATGCTTAATTCTATCCAATCTGTCTTTGCTAAACCAGAGGCTACAATATCAGAAAGCGAACATTCATGAGTGTCAGAATATTGAAACTCAAGGAATTGCCGTAAATGATGTGGACTAATAGTGTGTCTATCCATGCTATTCTAAAATATTTCCTAATAAGTGAGAAGACTTACCAAGTCATGGCCCAGTGGAGGCAGATTATCTACATATCCCAGGTCAGTCTGAGCCTGCTGCACAGCCTGCATACTGCTGTTTATGGTCCCCATCAGGGCCTGTTGGGCCAGACTCTGACAACAACAAACAATAGAGACAGAGCATGAAAATGACAAAAGCAATTTAAATACATAATATGTATTGTGTCTTTCAATCTCATGTCTATAAACAGAGACAGATGGGCGTTTAGTGTGAATATGAGAAAATGTCCTTGTATTTCTCTCTCACAGCCTCTTTGTATTGTTCATTGTGCTTCATTGTTGACAGCAGGGACAACAAGCATTATTTCGAATGTGCAGATCATATTTGCATGATGTTTCATAATGTACCTTGACACAGTATGCTGATATTATAATATAAAACGTACTCGATTGAGCATTGCTGCATCATTTCCTCATTAAAAAATGTTTGTCTACACACATTTTTCAAATGACACAGATCGGAATCAAAGGTTTGGGTGCTACCATTTCATTTCAAAATCTGGTGATAAAGAGGAACTATGACATTTAGCTAGGACACCATGTTTGCATGAAGGTGTAAGTGCTCTCACTCACCAGCGGGGGCATGTGTCCTCTGTGCATCTGCCCTGTGGTGATTTGCTGCTGGGCAGAGGGCATGGTTCCCATGTTGAAGGTGTCAGGGCCGCCAATAGACCCAGACCTAATTATACCTGGAAGTGCTATTGAGCCATGCTCCACACGACCCACCCGATTAAACTGCTGCTGCAAAATCGTGGACCTGATATAAAAAAAAAGAGAGAGGTGCATGCATGTTGAACTTCATAATTAAACACATTCAATCTACAGTAGGTGTCAAGGTGTTCTAGTGTTGACTGTATTCCTTTGTGTTACTAGTGAGTGCATCTTTGTATGCAGATAGTAGTCCCATATGACAGCGCAACCGTTACTAATTTGAATCATGGAAATTACAATATTATAATTAAAATAATGATCACACTAACAACTGTTCTCACGGTGAGTAGGTATTGTCTGAAAAAATATGGTACAAGAAAAAAAAAGTCTGTTTTGCTGCCCAGCTCAACAGATGCTACTGACTCCATTGGTTAATTATGGCTTGTTTTGAGAGGCAGCAATTATGTTTTTGTGCTGAGAACCACAAGATGAGTCAATTGGCCCATAAGCAGCAGGAATATGATGCCCCATTCTGCCAGATAGTGGTTTCACTAAGAGGCGTGTGGATTTTCAACGACAACACATTTCCAAGCTCTGTGTGATAGAGCCCTGATCCATCAGCAGTTACCTTCATCTTCATCAGTTACTAAGCTTCATGGGAGAAATCAGCAGAGACGACATGCAACTGGGAGATGAATATTATTGAATAAAACATCTTCCAATGAGGTGATATCTTAACCTGCATGATATCTTAACATCTGAGTGATGCAGCTTTCTATTGTGTAATTAGATGATAATTGTGTGTCCTCGCCCTGAGGCAGGGTTTGTGTTTTGGTTAGAACAAACTAAAATAATGCGAGGAAGTAATTTAGCAAATTGTATTCTGGATTATCGGAACAGTGTTAATGTTTTTTTTAAATTCAAAGTGCTGTTTTTGTATTTAATTCTAACAGTACCCCTCTTGGGGTTAGTTTGCTGGGCTGCCGGCAATTTAATTACATGCATAATTAAACAGTGAGGTTTCGATTAATGAAGAATACCAAGAATGTGTTTGCTGAATCTGAATGGTCAATATTTTTGCTACAGTATAATACACAAGCACTACTCACTTCTTAGGGGACACTGATTCCTCCAGCATGGTTGCTTCCTCATCTCCCTCTATGCCAAAACGATCCTTACTTTGTTTCTGTAGAAAGCAGAAAAACAGACATCACAGTTAACAATGAATGTATAGAGAAGTATATGTAGTGTACGTTTTCTACATTCAATTTCTAGTTACTTGCCTTTTTAAGAATGATGTCAATGTATCCAGCGATAAGTTGGGATATCTGCTCTCCCTCTGTAGTCTGCACAGAGTAGTAACTCTCCTGGTACTCTCCGAAATCCTGTGGTATTGGTTGAAAAACAGCAAAGATTCAGGACAGTATTCTAACATATATCTGGCATCGCAAAAACATTTAATAACTAATAAGCTTCTAGGGCCCATCTCATCTCTCTAAAGAGCTGATTTAAAATTAAATTGAGTGAATTTCAAGACTGCTCACTTCAAAGCCTTCTACTGAAATGCAAGGGTGAATATTATTAGGTAAAATACATTTTGGCTAAGGAAAACAGACATTAGGGTTGCCAACAGTCGGTAAGGAAGATTGAAAAAGCTTTCAAATAAATAATACATTTAAATTCTGCACATTCTTTCCAGGGCATCTATTGTTAAACTCTGCATGATGGAAATGTTCAATATTGGAGTATGAGTTTTCAACAATTTTGAGGAGGCTGTTTGTATTGGGAAATGAAAACTGGGGGAATAGTTAATGTGATGGAGAGCCATGTAATTAACAATGTGGACAGAATATTTGAATATGCGCATTAGAAGTGAATCATCGGACTAATTTAGAAGACTTGATGTAGAGAGTCAAACCGTACCAGCGTGAAGCTTTTGGGGGAGGCAGCCCATCTCTTGACCGTTGTCAGAGGCCAATCCTGCACCATATCCTTCGTCTTCTCATCCACTCGCATCACTGACTCTTTGGTTATCCCCAGCAGCCGCGGGACAAGCTTATTTTTACCCTTCATCTTTTCCTGTCAGATAGATCAAAATATCAGACAACATTTACACCTTTATTTAACACCTACACAGATGATTCATTCAAGGCGCGGACGTAAAACAGTTGCTGCTGGTTGCTGCTGTATTACACATGCTGCGTTCGTGGCTTAAGGCTCCGAATGGAGGAGGAGGAGGAGGGGAATGACCCAGGAGAGTACGGCCTTGTTCAACGGCTGCTTTATTGAGCAGGGTCTCCACAGGGTTTAGTCACTGTCAGCACACCAGCATGGTGCTTCCAACAGCTCTGTGTCCTCTCTCTCTGCCCACTGAAAATCTATTACAGCTCACTTCAGAGACATAACCCACACTTGGCTCCCCTCCAGGGGTTCAGAGGACGACACAGAAATTAGAGGTTTGTAGAGATGGTGAGTTAAAAATACATGCATTCTCACAGCTATTGTATATCATTTCTTTTTTAGCGCACAAAGGCCGATAAGTAGATCAGCTTCCAGGTTCAGGGCTCTTAAACACAAGGACAGATAACATTATCCCACTGTTCATGATATCTTCATACAATGGTCTATTAAAAACTTCTATTGTTTTACAATAATCAAAACAGTATAAGAGCAGGAAGTTTGATTTTCTAATCGTAAGTGGGTAGCTGAGGAATTATATTATTTTAAATAGTTTGACCTTGATTATTGTTGGTGAAAATCTGCTCGGGACAGAATTCACAATACTGTATAATAGGAGATTAAGCTTTTATTGTGCATGGCTGCAATGGCTGCCACACACACACACACACACACACACACACACACACACACACACACACACACACACACACACCACACACACACACACACACACACACACACACACACACACACACACACACACACACACACACACACACACACACACACACACACACACACACACACACACACACACACACACACACACACACACACACACACACACACACACACACACACACACACACACACACACACACACACACACACACACACACACCACACACACACACACACACACACACACACACACACACACACACACACACACACACACACCCCCCCATGTACAGTATTTAATTGCTGTGTAGTGAACAGCAATAGAAGGCTAGCCCAGCTAGAACCTGCAGTGATTAAAGATTGACAGATGAGAAAAGGAAGGTAACAATAAACTCTCAGATGTGCCTCCTCAAAGCCAGGTCTGTGCTTTCTGCCAGCATCGAGAGCAGAGTGCAGCTGGAGTGAATTATTTAGCAGAGTCTTGAAATCTCCATCACTACATCTCCTCATTGAACACAGACAGCGCTGGTACATGTTGATGCACACGCACTCTTCCATACACACACACGCACGCACAAACATACTCTGAACTCTGCAGCCTGCTTTAACTCCAGGGCCAAACATTCCATTTATCATCCATTAGGACCCCATCAGACAACTGTACACTTCCTCTTTTTCCCCTCTCCGGCAAGTTCCTAACCAAATGGGCTGCTGTCTGAGAGCTCTTAGAGTACCAACTGGTGCGACCTCATCCCATTTACATGCTGCACTCCAATTCCACTTGTGTGTCCGCCAAACCAGAACAGAATTTGTATTGTCACAAGTAATTAAAGCACTGAGTGTGCTGCTGAACGCACAAGCCTCCACACCGAGCTTCTGATGTGTTGTGATAATGGGAATTGTGGTGTTTTCAACAGGCTTCAATAACGGTTTCACAGCACAGTGTACATGAGAACAGCACTCTAATCACAGCTGCGACTCATTAGCACAGAAGCACCATGTGCATGTTTTCTCTTACCTGATGTATCATTAAACTGATATTGCTTAATAATTACTAGTTGGTTTCATTTTCACACCTTTGGCCTTCATTTGTATCACTTATGGTGAAATGGTACTATTAGTTAATACTGAGATATGTGCCAAATATAGCACTTTGCTGGAACAAAGAGGCAAGTGAGCCAGATTACCACACTTATAAACAGGCCAAGAGTTTATCTATCAATTTTTAAGGTAAAAGTTGAACCAGGAAGTTGAACAGTACATCATTATCGTTTGTTTTCTATTCCAAATAGGTTTGACTGATTCTGTCCCTTTATTTATCTTATTTCTTTTTGGCAATTTTGCAGCATTTTAAAATATAATGCAATTAACTTGTTAGCATACCATATACAATTGTAATGAGAATAGGAGAATAAAATGCATGTTGTATTAATCCTTTAATGGTATTTTTTTGGTAAATGTGAGTCATTCATTTCCCCTCTTTAGTGGTGTAAAGTGTAATGGTTTTAGTTCTTACCTTCACCAGGAAAAAGGACACTCCGTATGTCATCAGAGACCTGGCGAGCTTCACATACTTCACTTTAGCCTCAATCTCTGTCATCTCTCCACAGGTATTGTGTTCCTGGACAAACAGAAGAAGTTACACCTCCACATCATTGATTGACTGAGTGTTACATATGTCATGTTTTCTGTCACATTGTCTTCTAGTTTGGGATTTTTTCAATTTATGCCTCAACAGAAAACCAATTACTATTATTCACAGGGGGCGGCAAACAGTTTTAAGCACTTTTCTTTTTTGTAATGTACATACCTGGAATATTTTCTTCTCGGACCCTCTCTGCTTGATGTACTCTTTAGGTAGGAACTCCTTCAGGCTACGGAGATACATTTTTACATGGTTACTCTTTTGAGCTACAGGCCTTTATTTTCTGTTAACATACCTCTACTATGAGGTCATTCTTGCCCTACTGCCTACATATCAGAAAACAGTTGTAACAGCTGACATCACCCCTGAGCTTTCCACTAGAGGAAATCCCTGAAGCAACAGCCTGTACTGAAGCAGGAGATAACCACTGTGTATGCACAGCTGTGATGTGAACATGTAAAAGTTCAGCACGCTGTAAAGACTTATTATGAATGTTGGAGTCAAGACATATTTTCGAGAATTCAAAACTTACTCCAGAAATCCGGGCTTGTGTTTGTGCTCCACGTGGGGTCCAAACTGGATCTGGGCCTGAATGCCTGCAAACTCACAGGCTTTATCAAAGGAGACGGGTTGGGATCCATTCAATATATCATCCCTAGCCTGAAGGAGACATGAAGAGAGCGGGAGGGGGGAGGTGAGAAAGTGAGAGGCAGAACACACACATCCAGGAAAAGGATATAACTACAAAGGCATGAGCATTATCCCAAATTCACCCTACAGAGCTCCGTAATGAGCACTTCGTTGTGTGCTTTGAATGCACTGTGGCTTCAGAGAGGATGTCTTCTAAGTGAATGACTACGTGTATTTCTAGAGCAGGGACATCATCACTGAGATTCATCCACACAGGGGAGCTAAATAACGATTTGTTTGTGACAATACAAGCCAATCTGCTGGCTTTCAAATGTACCAGCTCCAACAATCTGTCATCGTAGCCCATTACGTGTTATTAAAAAGGAAAACACATTACAGGAATGCATCAGTCTTTCACAATATCCCATCTGCATTACAGAATGGCCCTCAATATTTTGTAGGGAAATCTAATGACTGGATGTATTTTCTTTCCATCGAGCCAAAGAAAAGAAAGCATGTGCCTGTTTGCTGTTGTGACAACAATTATGTTTCATTGTTTCTCAGCCAGGCTGTCTACATTATCTTCACGGATAAGGTAGACGGAAAGGGAGAAGCCTTTGTTGACATCTTTCAAATGGCTGTCAGTGTGTGTTGTTTTCTCTAGGGGGCAGTCAGCTCTACCTCTCTCTCTCTCTTCCACTCTGTCTTTTCTCACTCCCTCTTTCTAGTTCACTTCTGCAAAATTAATGGCTCCAAAAGCTGAGAGGCCTCGCTGCCAGTGAGAAAGGCTCCATCAGTGCTTTTAAGCATTAGCATATCAGTGCACAGCGTGGACTTGACTTATTCTTACGTCCCATTACATCAATGAAAGACTAAGCAGCAGAAGCTTACTGCTGTAATGAGCACAACAATCTCCTCGCTCACAATCAAGTCCTTTCCGAAGCGCAATTCACAGTGGAGTGTATAAGCTCTTACTGAACATGAGAAGATACTCTAAAATTAGCCCCCTCACATGTCATTCATTGTGGTACACACTATTCACTAGGCAGTATTATTGAGACATGCTGTGAAAGATGGGGTGTTCTAGACGACCAATTTTCATTTTAATGAAAGTATTGCTTGGTGGGTGAGGATTGTTAAAAAGGGCCCCTATTATTTAGCGAGAATAATTTAGGTTTTAAGAGCCTATGTGTGGGTTTGCTCACTTAATGAGACATTGATTATCTCACAGCATGTAACATGTAGACCAGCAGAACATTGTATTTTTGCAGTATCCTGGTCATGCATTTGCATATGTAAATATGGTTTCGGAAATAAGGTCACACAATTCCTGGTTTCAAGAAACTCTTATGTGTTAGCTGGAGCACTGACAGAAACTAGGATACTGTTGGATGTAAACTCTTTATCCAGGTTTCTCCAGTTCCACTTTGCCATAAAAACAAACAATACATGTAATAATCTACGCCCTAAAATGAAAGTGAAAGTTTGACACCGGTAATGCAAGGGAAACATTTTATCGGTTGTTGCTCTCATCTTCCATTACTGGGGATGTAATGAGGGAGCCAATATCCAGCAGAGTGGTAAATGCAACAGTGGCCAGGCCAGAAAGCAAAGTGGGTTTCTCATAAATGATTGTGTCAGTTGTTCCAAAATTGAGGAACAGATTATCAGCAACCTCGATACTAGTCTGTTGAGAATTATGAAAATGACCAGTTTATCAATAGTTCAGACAAATGTCATATCTTGTTTTTGTTAAGGAATTGACGATTTATAACACATTATTTAAAAGGCAAACAAAACCATTCAAGGGGGTCCTGTGTTTGTGTTGGTAGGGCTGTCAGCAGAGTGATATGACAGAATGGTCAGGTTAAATGAATCCAATTGAATTGACATATCTGTGGTGGTGTTTATTGATAGTTGGCCTTTACTATACGTATTTGTGTTCTCTAGAGTTCAAGATATGAGTGTTGTGTTTTTTATGCTCTATGCTTGAGTTCAGTGTGTGCTTGACTAATTTGGAAATATTGACTTACTCATTCCAGAAATATTGTTGGCCGCTGACCTAACAGGCTCCCCAAGCAACCGATCAAACCGTTATAAAGTTTAGTATAAACACAAAATCAAATAATTTGCTTGTTTCTTTCACATTAATTAAGCAAAACACATACTGTACATGTCTGTATTTGATCAAAGGACTGAATTAGAGTATTCTTCCATGATTGTTAACAGACAAGACAGTGAGGATATACCTTCAATTTCCACAGAGCGGATAAGGCAAGTGATACAAGCACTGGTTCTAGGACCTTTTAATAGAGCTGCCTGAGTGGAAGTGAAGCACAAGACATCAGAAGCTGTGACACATACAGCCTGAGGCTTCAACACTGAGGTCAACCAGTCCACTGACCAGCAGAGCGCACAGTATAATGCAGCCTTAAAAATAAATGCTGACATAGGGATACACTGCAGCGAGTAAATGCACACAGTGTTCGATCAGGGCGGTTGCCAATAAATCAGAGAGTGAAGGCATATTGAACAGCTCCATGACCTAGACAACACAGATTTACTCTGAGACAAATACTGAATGATAAGATGATGTTGGGGCATCCTGATGGCTCAGTAAGCTACAGCACTGTACCTGAACTGGCCTTAGTTCAAATCCAACCTTTGATGCTTATTTCATTTCGAAATGTCCTTTTATTTCCCATTAAAGCAAACATTTTTCACAAGGTTTAAAATGCTTAAAATGCTAACACAAACTGTCACAACAGACCTGTTGATGGAAAACAAACATGATGAAATGGTTGGAAGCAGCTAGATATTTAATTTTCTGACAGCATATTCTTCCTCTGTCCCTGCTCTGGTAAATGTAGTCTCAAGGTACAATAGTGCACTTTCAGAATCAACAAAAATGAGCAAAAGTTAAAGCAAAAGAGCAGGACACACATGGTGATGCTATTGCTCGAGGTTTATCCCAGTCTTAGCACAAATACATGACAGAAAGGGAGTGGCCGAGTAGTAAAGGAGATTAGTCTGTTACTGGCAGAGCTTCCATTATGTGTGTGTGTGTGTGTGTGTGTGTGTGTGTGTGTGTGTGTGTGTGTGTGTGTGTGTGTGTGTGTGTGTGTGTGTGTGTGTGTGTGTGTGTGTGTGTGTGTGTGTGTGTGTGTGTGTGTGTGTGTGTGTGTGTGTGTGTGTGTGTGGGAGGGTTTGAAATCATGGAAGCCTCAAACCATTAATACACATTTGACATCGCTGATTTGCATGGATGCTCTGTCAAAGACATGCCAGCAATAATGTCATCATCTGCACCGTCTGAATGAAATTACTCAATCCGGCAGAGTTTGTGAGAATAACAGGAATTATGAATGATGAAGGACGTTAAAGAGGAAAATGGATGGGGTAAAAAGCTATCTACACAACACAAGAGTGGAAGAGAACCCTTCTGGCTCTCTTTGGCCTTTTTAAATATAGTGACAAATTAAACCCACTGCCATGTGAAGAGTCTCAGTGATCTGCCTGTGTAACAATCTGAGTGTGTGTCATAGAGAGAAAACGAGGGAAAGATAGATGGGTGAATGCAAAAGAGAGGCAATGAGGAGGCGGGGGAAAGGGGCGGGGTTGTTATTGTGAAAGGAAATTATTGAGAGGAGAGCATGATATGCACTAAACTGTAATGTGTGCCAGGGTAACAGGGTGGGGATGTGTGCGATTATGTCAGAATGTGTAGGAGATGGAAAGGGAGTGGAGACAGGCGAAACCTTAAGGGAAGGAAACGGATGGTAAAAAAAATAGAGGCAACAACAGGAACAGACAGATTGAATGGAGAAGAGCAGCGGGAGCAGGCAGGGAGGGTTGGTGGTTAGATGCCTTTTATGAACATGTTCAGAAACACAGCAGGGATTTAAGGGATGAAAAGAGCGCAATTTGAACAGCTACGACACATTTCAGACACGGTATATATCTAGTATAATCTATACTATAGATAGTGAGTGCTGTTTTTGCAGAGATGTTGTGTGTGAGGGGTAGAATCTTATCGTTAGTGTATTTATTTAAACTCATATGTTCTGTGAGTATCCCTCCCATACTCTCCCTCTATCCAATATCTGCATGTGTGTGTTTTTGGGTACTCCACACCATGCTGTTTCCAGGAGGGGTTAATGTGCATGTAATGATGTGCGCAGTGAGTCAACAGTGACTTGTGTGGTATGAACTCAGCTAAACCCCTCAGGGAACCCCCCGGTGCCAGCAGGGCTCCCTCGGTTTAACAACTTGTAGAACCAACACACACACTCACAGATAGAAAAATAAACTATTTCAATAAAAACACACTGCCGCAGCTAGATGTAACTCCAAAAAGACAAACTATATCTCTGGGACCAGATATGCTGCACAAATCTGCAAACAGTACGTGACTCACTGCCTCTGAAAACTACTGAACCTCAGGAACAACTATTATATTATTTTAGATAAAACCTCTTCAACCCACTGAATCACTTGTTTGTCAGTCAGTACAGACTTGCAAACTCATTGTCCCAGAGAGCCTTTGAAGTTACACTGTGGATCACTGATTTTAAGAAACTGGACAGTTTAGTAGTTACTTTCCAAAACCAGAGCTATATTTTTGAAAGTTGTAAACCATAAGCAAAAACCAAAGCCATCCCATTAAGTAGTGCATTCATTCAATCATGTATAAAGAGAGCTAATCTTACCAAGACACAGAGAAAAAGAAAATGGTGTTGCAAATATACTCCGGCAACAATTAAACATCTGGCTTTCTTAAGGTTCTAGCTCATCAAAAGGCAATAGAAACCGCGCTGACAACTACATGTATGTATGAAGGAGAGAGGGGCTAGAGTATAAATGTTATATCAAATGGATCAATCAAGCATCAGTAATGTGAAAAAGGTTGCTTGTGTGGCAAATCCACAGATTGTTCCTACAACATAGTTATTGAGCCTAATTACACTGTGCAGTGACTTCTGAAAGACCTTGGGAAAAAACAGCAACACCCCCCCCAAAAGATTGCAGTGTAATTCCTATGGTAATTTTACAGGTTTTGCTGAACAGCAGAAATATGGGCGAGCAGTAGGTCATCCTCTTAAACATCTGTTTTTTTGATACAGCAGCATGAAGGTATGTGTGATTGTTTACCTGAACATAGAGCAGGTTCAGCTGCACAGGGTCCCTGGAGTCCACATTCTGGTCTGAATAGAAGAACTTGCGCCTGAGCAGCAGAGTCTCACTCTCCTCCACCCCCTGCTCTCTGAACGTCCTGCTGTGGTCCAGCCAGTTCACTGAACAATCAATACACACACTCTGTTAACACACGCGCTGAAATAAATAGACATCCACTTTATAAATATGTTACTAGAAGAAGATACTGATGGTGAAATGAATCTCAAACACATGACTGATCAGCTTGGACAGAGAATCAAACAAATGAATCACAGTCAAGTGAACATTTTGCCCAGCGTCCTTTTTACAGCGGAATGCTTGTTTCCAGCCAAGATTAAAGTGTGATTTATATATTCCTATGTTTCAGACTATAATTGGTGTCCTCTTGGCAAGAGATAACAGTTGTAATTCAATTACATTTGATATGTCCGCACAATAAATTAAACTTAAGTAATAAAGCACTTGCCCAGATGAAGGAGTCAGATTTATGAAAGTGAAAATAAGAAACTGGTGCAAAAGTCATCATGATATCAGCGATACTTCCGGAGGCTTTTTTCCCAGAGTTCACACTCACAGTCATCGTCTGTGTGAAGTTTGGCTTTGAGCTTTTCCATCTTCCTCTCATCTCGTTGCTGCAGCGTTCGGTCTTTCTTCAGTGTCCCCATTCCATCCTCCTTCTTGTCCTCCGTCACCTCTTGAATGAGGGAGTACTCCTCATAGTTGGTGATTCCTGAAAAGAGTGAAAGTTTGCCAAGGGATTCTCAGAGGAGGAGATGCCTTGAACTGGCACGATAAGCAGAGCTGTGATAGAGAAAGCGCCTCTGCAATTCTCTTGCACTCTTATTTTTATCTATTTCTCTCTGCTTTGAAACAGAAGTGAAGGGAAGCTGGTACAGAGCCAGCAAACTAAAATGGAAGCCGGGGAGGAGAAGAAGCCAAGCAGAAAGATCAACTCCAAACAAACATTTTCCAATAAAGCTATCTGCCAGGCACACATCCCTCCCCTCCTCACCCAATTGAGCTTGATGGCAGGCCATTATAATTGAAATATACAGCTTAGGGAACACCTCTGTGACAGGCAAGTATGGCACGGTCCTTCGCCTTAGGAAGAACACTTCAGTTAAATAGAAACATGCTTTTTTAAGCGTGATGAATCATGCCCATTGTGCTCTGAACAAAATGTGATTAGGAATTTATCAAGCATACATGAATGCTCTAAAGTACTGAACAAATGCTGCTGCTTAAATATGAATTCAATAGTATCTAATAAGACAATATGAAGTCAAGTGGCATGACTTAGACTAAAAATAAAATAGAGAATGAATAATTCAAGCCTTGGACGATGGCTGGACAAGATTCTTATTAGCAGTACTTGGAGAGTATCACTTACCTATTCTGCTGCATATGGTGACAAGCAGCTCCCCCACAGTTTTTGAGTCGTCCACCATGATGGTTTTGACTGCGCCGTCAAGCATTTTGATCTTTTGCGGCCTTTGTTTCTTCTTATACTCCAAAACATCCTGAGAGAATAGGAGAGGAAGCAAAATGACATCCACAACCCCTGTGATCATACTCGGCGGTAAACACCAGTCGCTCCCAGAAAGCAGGGAAGCATGAATATCTCAGGTGCCCGAAGAAAAAAATGTAAATCACATTAAGAGATGATAAGTGAAACTGAAGGTTCTCCTCCCCAAACTATATGACTTAATCTTACTCCGTTTCGCAGCATGTAGTAATCCAGGGTTCTTCCAGACTCGAGCCAGATTCCTTTCCGGGGATCTTCGTCAGACAGGAAGAGGCCATAATCTGACGCTGAAACACAAAGTGAAACACAGCATGAAAATGTAAATGCCTATAGATTTAGTTTATGCAAATTATATTTCCTAAATCATCCACCAACCTTGTCCTGACTGCGCCTCGGGGACTCTCTCTCTGATGATCCTGCAGGCGTCATACACAGGCGTGGAGGGCTCAAACTGCATCGTCTTCACCACATTGCACTGGCGCACACAGATCTTTAGTGACAAAGCCATCATCTTGGAAGGTAGTATAATGGCCTCACCGACCCACACACCTGGAAAACACAGAAGTATAAACATTAAAGGACACCTATCATGCTATATTTAAATGATATATTGTAGGGCCATACGTTTCTGTTTTCAAAATACCAAACAGATCATGCCTCATTTCGCTCTATGTGCTGTTTGCTGTCTACGGGGCTGATTCTGTGAGCTGCAGCTGACCACGCCCCCCTGCAAGAGAGGGGAGCCGTGCTCTGATCAAGTCAAGAGGGGGAGAAAAAAAGATCTCCGTCCTCCGTGTTTTATTATATTATTATAGGCCTATAGAGTCGTTATTCATTTGTTTTAAAGCTCAATAAATAACAAAGAAGACCTTTGACCGGCACTTTTCTAATTTTGTCCGGAAGATTTAAACTTTAACGGACATCTTGACCGGCGAAAGAAACTGAAACTGAAACTCTGCCGCACGGTCCCCTCGTTCCTTGGAAGAGGCGGAGAGGTGGGTGTTTGTCATCTGCTGGTGGACTAACCGGAGAGAATTACAGTGCTTGCCTCGACGGGGAGGGAGAAAAAAAGCCACAGCGGAGAATAAACAGAAGGGTAACCATGGTAACTATGGGCGGGAAGTCTTCTTCGCTGCTTTTGTGGCAGACACTTACAGGCCTGGCATATGTACTACAGCGTCTCCAGCGCTTTCGAGCGGCAATGGCCGGCCGTGGCCCAACCCCACATTCCCCTGATAGGTGGAGAGTTGGCCCAATAGCCGTAGCGCCACCGTCCTGACGTCAGGACAGTGTTCAAATCTGGATCAGTTTTTATCAGATCCGTTGCAGCCCCTTTTTTAGAGATTTGGGTATGGAGGAAAATAGAGAGGGTTGTGTTTTCTGACACTTGGTGAGTTCCCTGGAACACCGGGGACACATATTCATGTATAAAAGACGTGCAAAAGTGCATTTTGCATGATAGGTCCCCTTTAAGTAAAAGTGGAGTGTGTAAAGTCATACTGCTGGTTAAAATCCAAAAGAGACGCCATGTGTTATTAACACACCATAATTAAAATGTTCTCTAAGAAAGTCCTGCAGGAAAGTGTGAAGACAAAGTCTCAGATGGCAAGCGCAACACCAGAAAGAACAAAACAAACCGTCACAATTATCTCCTTGGAGACATTTTTAGCTGTTAAATTAAAAGTGTGATAAGCTGTACACCTGCCTCAGCAGCTCCTCATTCTGCTGTGCTGCGGACACTAAATGGTTAAGTGCACGGAGAGCTTCTGCATGATTGCTGTGTGTGTAGAATTATCTGAACCAAGGAAAGCGACATAACCTTTCAGCAGAAAAAAAGGAAATGAGTGCAAATCTCTCTAATCGTCAGCAATAACAGGAGCCGAGTCAAAACACAGAAAATGTCTTTCCACCACCGCACCATTATTCACATTTCTCCTGGCTCGCATTTCCCCCCAGAAGCAGATTCACTGTGAGACAAATCAGTGGGTGTTTTGTCACATACTGCAATTAGGGCGAGTCAATTTGGTTATTCTGAGACTCATATGCGCAAAAAAAGGAAAGAGACTGATACTGCAGAGTGTTTCTCCTCTTCCTTGACCTTGGCTTTAGCAGGGGGAGGGATGGAAATTATAAATAAGGCCATCTATACTTGAAAGGCTCTCACAGCCTCATTCTTAATCACATTATAGACCTAAGATCTAGTTTTTCATTTGAGGTAAGTATATCAGCATACAAGTAGCTATTATCAGGCTTTTTCTTTATCAAGTTTACCATGTTCACTATGTTATCCATTTATTGATTGATTGTTTTGTCCATAAAACATGAGAATATGGTGAAAAGAAAATATTCCCATCAAATTTAAATAAAATCCAGTTGGCATTTTCAAATAACCTTTTTTGAGACACTGGAAAATCCTTTATTTTTATAATTTTGCTTTAAAAATACATACAATTAATCATTTATGAACATAATTGCAAATTATTAAACTAATCATTCAATTGATTATTTTAGTTGACTGTATTCCAAATTCTACTTGGACACCAAGATCATTTTTGTGTTTTTGGAAATGTATAACATCTTCATAATGACATGATTCAGAACTTGGCTCCACTTGGAAACAGTTGTGGTGCTCAGGCGTCCACAGGCCCCTCATGAGCCAAAGCAGAGAACCTCTAAACTTTCTATAATGATGGAGTTGTGAAAGAGCCCATCTGTGGCTGTGGCTCTCTCATGACTATGGGTTCCTCTCCAATAGCCCCTCTCCCTCTCTGAGTTTTTCTTCATACAAAGTAGGAAAGACAACACAAGGAAGAAAGGGTAATGGTGCCGCATGAGTTCTCCTGGTTGGCAGAGAAGCCCCACCGAGTTTCTGTCATCCAGCTTTTCTACAAATACTTTCTTCTAGACAGGAAGCTTCAGACCCCAGACTGACAACATGACAGACCCCATGGTAATATGAGCGCTCACAATGTAGACTCACAGATAACAACACCCCCACACCGAAAATATAGATTGTGCAAATACATTTTTTCTTACATTTTGTAAAGTTTTGATGGATTTTCAGATAGGTCCATAACCATAACATAAAAAAGCCAATGTTGCCTCTGACGACGGGTATTTGCTGAAGATTACTGTCTGTCTAATACTGAAGCAACAGTCACTTTAGTATCTGTTGTGAGTAGCATCAGTCACTTCAGAGAGTAAGCACTGCAGAAACCACATGATGAAACCCATGAGGATAATGATAATCCCTGAGCTTACAGTAGTGTGAGAGCACATTTTTCACTACGATCCTCGTGCAAACAGTCTGAAGCAGCCAGCTCCTCATTAGCTTGGATTTAAAGCATGGCTGGATCCACGTCTACGAGAGGAGCAGAGAGAAACAACTACGAATATCTGTTGAGTGTTATCTATTTAATCACGTTTTCTAGGTAATCTCACTCTGACAATCACTAGTCCGTCAGAAAAGAGTCCTGCTTTGAATTATCGGCCACTACTCTAAATATTAAGACATCGAAATGGCCAAAGAGCAGCTTGCTAGGGGGTCTAAACATGGACAATTCAATAGAGACCAGGGAGCGCAGGAGCCATCTGGAGAGGATACAGCTCTAATGATTGACTGTATTACCAGCAGCAGCTCAGACCCCGATCTCTGCACCCGTCGCACAACAACCTAGGAGGTGACTCGAACAGTGCTGGTCCAGGCCGGAGCTGTTTGTTTGGACCAGCTTTCAAAATACTTACACTAGAAGAACACATTTGAAGCAGAATGACCCTTGAGAACATACCAGGGTGTGGATGAGAATGAATAACATTCCTCCAAGGACACCAACAATACAAACAGTGCATAATGGGGTGCCTCAGTCTTCGTTTTTTTAGAGAAATCACGTGTGTATCTCATGCAGTGAGGACATGAAGATGTACTGTAGGACATGCAGAGTTCAACAAAAGACAACACCAATTGTTCTTCTGAAAGAGTTTTGCCTGGGCTTCTTGTAGGTGACTACAACAATGAAGCATACAAGATGTGTACAGATGGTTTGAACACGTTCAATGTAAATATGATATAGCAATTACAGCATTGTGTGTGCCACCCACGGTGCGCACGATTGTTCACTGCAATTTACAACAGAGTACGGGCGGTCCAAACCAATTCATTCTTTGTATTTTGTGAAATGAAAGATATGTTTTCGAAACACATGAAAAAGCTTGTGATATAGGAAGACACAGTCTAACTACTTGTTAGAATTAGTTCTCTAGTTATTTATTGAGAGAAAACACAGAAAGCAACTTGAGTTAAAGGCCAATTTTCAAATTCATACTTGTATTTTGGGTTCATACTAGACCATGTTTACATGCTTTAAGGTTCATATAATACTCTTTTTTTTTAACCTGTATTCACTCTCATAGATACTCAGATGGGGGGCGGTCTATTCTAATGATCCTCCATGTGACAAAGGAAGGGGACCACCTTTGAAAGGCTTGTTGAATCCCATGTATTTTGTACTCAGGCAGCCCACCAAAATCTGACGTGTGGTCTTAATTCATTGTTTGAGGGTTGCTAGGCACTCTAGATAACTATATGTATGTGCACTAGCACTGACAAAAGTGAGTTTTTCATAATGTGCCCCCTTTAAATTACAATGGAATATAACACATTTATAATACATATAATTGTGTATTCTTGAAGCACCAAATCTAAACCATCCCCCCACATTGCTACATGATTTCCAAGGTCAGTCCTTGAAACTGAGATCAGATGAGGAACAGTAATGATTCTCTGGTAAACAAGGCCATTTGTGAGAGGAAAAAGAAAAAGTGATGCAGATGCAAATATCTTTTGTCTTGCTTACACAAAAGCTACTTTGGTGTAATGTTGTTGTATGTTGATTTAAGCAGGCACAGTTATTGTGAAGGATGCCAATTACATTTTAACAAACTGTGATGCAGTCGAAAATAATCCCAAAGCGGAAATAAAAAATAAATGGCGGGAGAATAGAGCCAGTAAAAAAGTGTGGCTGCTTTCTTCACTAACCTCACAAATACACTGAATTGGCATTTACTACACCATATCTCCATCCCAGAGGACTGTTTATTATTGTTTTAATTAAGCATGTAGTATGTCAATGGCTTCAATGGAGGGCTGAGAGTAATTCCGACCTCAGCAGTTCTCAGGACTGTCGAGAACAGCAGGATTAGAGCATGTGTGCAAGAAAATGCAAAATGGCTCAACTGCTCCACAGCACACCTCTTTCTCTCTCCTCTTCAAATCCTGCACGACACTCTGAGCACAACATCAGCCTTTTATCCCCGTCTGATTGAAAGCAAGGTCAGTTTCCTGCTAGACCATAGTATGTCTCTGGAGACTATTACGTTTTACTGGAACAAAGGCAAGGGGGGGGGTCACGTAACAGCAAACAAGGGTTGTTGTTTTGAACCTCTGTGTATTCAAATCCAATATTCCTGGCCAGCTCCACCACGAAGAAATGTGACAAGGTCAAGCGTGTTATAACCACAGGATGTTAAAACTGTGTTTAGATTAATTGACT